CAAATTAAAATTACTTTTGAATTTAAATTATTAGCAGTTCTGTATTAAGGTTATATAAACATCATGACTTCCTCATGCAAATTGGTGATGTTTTTATGTGTGTGTGTTGAGTTTATTTACCCTCGCCACCCGGTTAAAAACCATATGGGCGAGCATATGCTTCATTTATTAAAGGGAAAACACTTTATTTAGTTAATATTGCATATGTGACTAGTGAGTACAATATTTCCTGCCCCAACAATGCAAATTAATTGCACTGAATGGAACCGGAAAACGGTGGGATTACATCCCACACTAAAGATTAAAAAGCTGTATTTAAAATTTAAACTTAAATTAAAAAGGGGGGAAGACGCTTATACACGGACGTCTTCTATATAGGGAACAAAAAAAACCCCCCTAATAGTTATGTTTAATGATAAGCTTCATTTATTCAAATCATATTTATAATGTTAAACAAGTATTAAAGGGGGGAAGACGCTTTATACGCGTACACCTTCTATAACAGACCAACACAGTTAAATTTGTAGATCTTAGTTTTTATTAAACTTTATTTAATACAGAGAAGGTTTTTAAATATAAACCTTAGCAAACACGTCTGAGAATATAGTTTTTTACAAATTGGCCATCATTTAATGCAAATTACTTTACGTGGGGAGAACAATGCAGAAACGATTTTGACAGATAGCGCCGAACCACGTTTAGTAGGTAAATTTTGATTGGCCAAAAAATGGTTGTGATTTGTATGGCTAATTAAGGATAAGATATGATTGGTTGATAGTAAACAGATTTCATTGGCGCATTTACTATCGATTTTGGAGCTTAGCTTGAAGAATTTTGTGGTCTAGACCACGTGGTCTCTGTATTGACATTTCTGCACTGTCTCCCATATAATGCTTAAAAATGTTTTTATATATCTACAGCTCTATTTATATGTACATGTTTATATAACACTACACAATTGTAACATTGCATTTTCATGTGATATCTGATCTATGTTACAATGTACACAGCTGTTGTAAAATTGTGAAATAGTAATTTTCATTGTCCTTATATAAAGTTATTCTGCTGTATTATTAATTTGTTATAAATATGTCTGAATGTTATATCACTGTGTATAAATACTTGTTTGAAAAATATAACCCAAGCTATTATAAGCTTATTACCATTATTTTGAGTCAATCTGTCAGAAATATTTATTACAAATAATATCAATGTAAACGCATGTTTTATATAAATTTTCATAGATATTGGTCATGTTTTAAAACTTTTATATTTCATTTAAGTATGATAAAAAGTCAAAAATAGAAAAGTCGAGTATGTAAATGTTTGACTAGAACAACAAGATAGATTGAGATCATACCATATACTCCTGGTCCAGCCCATCTTTTCTCGTCTTTTCCTCTCTTTACTTTCCTATAACAGTTGTAACTTATAATTTGATTTACATATAATTACTAGTTGTCAATTATTGTAACATCAATCTATATCTAATGTAGATATTGCTGTACAAAGTTACATCAGTACCACTGTATTCCATTAATTGTTGGACTGATTTCCAGTTTAATATTTTGGTTATTAATTATTTAAAAAACAAAAGCAATTTCTTGCAGTTGCACAATGCATTTTCTTGATATGGACATAATCAAACCAGACAAATTTGGCTTTTAATAACATTCAAAGCATGGATACAAAAATATTGTTCAGATACTTCTACAACTTTTGTTATTCAGTCATTTGATTAACTGCTCAGATATACATGTATAAGTATCATAGTTACATTTAATATCCTGTAATACAAACAAGTGAATAAACTGTTATATGATGAACTACATATATAATAACTGTTGATCGTCCATGCTTATCAATATTTAAATGTGTACCTTTTTGGCAAGTCTTCGAGCTCTTTCTCTCTTCAGGTGTCTCTGTGGCTTTTATTATTTCTTTTCTTCTCCTACAAAACATGCATTACTATACCATTTAAAAAATAAACATATTTTTATATACCAACCAGTTATTAAGAGTCTATTTTTTTAACTAATATTTCAACTATAACAAAAAATAAATAATCTAACCTGAATAATGTTCAATGGCCTTTATATTGTTGCTTTCATGTTCACAGTTCCATAAATTATTTTAACTTGCATATTTCTTTGCCAATTACACAATCTATCTTTACATGCCTTATTTTGACTACTTTTGTAAATGACATAAACATAAACAATTTGTATAATCTGCAATTCTCCATATTGCCATCATTTCACAAACAAAGTACCATAACTCTATTTAAAACAGGTTTTAATTCATAATGAATCCTAACAAATGTACTCCATGAAAAATCTCTGAACAATGATATAGTAGATATACCATGCTATACACTAATTTACATTGATGAATTCTGACAAGTTTAATCTCATTTCAATCACAGAATGCAAAGAAAGTCAAGAAAAACTTTTAATGACAGAAACTAAACTATTAATCATGCTATACAAGAATGTGGGGTACATAATAAAATATACCTTTTCACTAAATATCATACATACATAGAAGAGGGCCTTCTTTGACATTCTTCAAAATTTAATTTTAAACTAGAGGTAATGGAGGACAAAGAGAAACCATATGTTTAATTTTGATAAAAAAACGTAAATTTTGTTGAGAATCAAATAACAAACCTCATTTCTTCTTGCATTTTATCATCGTCTTCGTGATTTAATCGTGATGATTTAGATTGTTTTCTGTGGTATCTATCATCTGTATCTGATGAATCACTATCACTATCATATTGCTTCTTCTTTCTCTCTAAAGGTGACCTTGACCTTTGTTTCTTTTTCTTCTTGTCTTTCTTTCTCTTTCTATCCCTTGATGGTGATGAACTTCCTCTTTCTGACAGGTCATTCCTTAATTGATTAAATATAAAAAAATGACATGTATACTATCATTTATAAGGATGCCTATGGTTTATCACGAGAAAAAAAGCCTGAAACCTGAAAATTTCTACTGTGGCATCCAGTTTTTAAAAAAAAAATATCTATATTGTACAATTTGTCTCCAAAAAAAACCCCAAAAAACAAAAAAAAACCCTTATATATTTAAATAAATTCATATGCTTTAATGAACTTATTACCTTTTTTTCCTTTTATGTGAAGATCTGTTTGAATCATCTGATGAATCTGACCTAATAAAAGAACAACCAAGAGCTACTATATAACAGTCATATAGCTCTCAAACTTTTCTGATTCATAAATATAAATATGGTGTCCTTATAGTTTTACAGAAAGTAAATAATTTTTTACTTGATTATTTCAATGTAACCAGTCACTTAAATACATGTATGTTTGATTTGTTTCATCGACTTTAGTTTTCCTATAATAGCCCATTTGGTCAATGAATCTTTTTTTTCTTTTGTATTCTTCAATTTGTAAAATCATGTGTGATACCTTCCTATTAATAACAATACCATCTATAAAACTGTCACATTATTAATGGTAACTTGCCCAATTTGGCATTTTTTAAAAGACAACATTGACATCAAAGAAGTATAACATTCCACAGAAAAACTTAATGAAATAAATGTTAATGTGGAAAATGGGGTTTAAAAACCTATAATGTGCCTTCCTTTGCTTTGATCTTGAGCCCCTGTCCTCATAATCTTCTGACTCAGAGTCTGATCTAAAATAAAAGTTTCAATGACATAACTTAAAAGAAGAATCATTAGTGTCATTTCCTAAAGCTAGAAAGTTATATTGATAAAGTAATTCAATGCCTTAAAATAAAGAAGATGTAGTATTTTATTGTATACCTCCAGATGGAAAAACTGATCTTTATTTTTCAGCAAATACAAAGAATACATATTAACTTAAACAAGAATACATATTAACTTAAACAATCTTGAAGGAAGGTAATTTAGAATATGGTGCAATGATTTCTATTAAGAAGGGGATAAGTGAACTGTGGCGAATCATTATCAATACACTGATAAAAATTTTCCAGACTATCAGACAACAGGCTATTCTTACCAGTATTTTTTCCAGTAAAGATAACCAGTTGCAAATCTCACTGTATAAATCATTATGCAAAAAGGTCTGACATATGATAGTTTTAACAGTTAATTTGAATATTTTGGTGTCAAAAGTTGTGTTGAAGTGTATATTGTGACGAAGCTAAGATCCAAAGCTTTTCATTGGTGTAATAAATTTTGAAATCGAACATTAAATTACAACAAACGAGCGGTTTAAAAACAGCTTAATTTGTGTTGTTTTAGCTTAAGGGATATCTTTTTCACTTGAAGTTGAGGGAAACAACTCGTATTTTTTACTCGATATACCTAGGTTATTTACGTAGTACTTATCAAAACTGTTTATGGGTGTATTAAAGTATTGATAACTTACACATGTACAAATGTACCAGTTAAAATGACTATTTATAAATAAAGAGAACATTTTATTTCACAAATATACACAAACATACATTTATTGATTTAATTTAACCATTTTACAATGTTAATAATTTAAATTACATTTTAATAATTATTTTGAGGTAAGGCTTATTGTGACTTATCTGGTGCAAATTGTCACTAAAGAGTAACGTGTGGCGAGTCATTATGGGGTGAATCACAATTATAAGGGCCAATCACTATAATTAATATAAATTCAGTCCAACAATTCAATGTATTACTGCATCATAAAGGCATTATACAGTCTATTTCAAGATCTAATTGTCTTATCAGTTAAAGTCAAAGCAATCAATGCACTTAACAATTAATAAACAAATCATTAGTGAGCCACCATGGCACCTGCAATCTCACACCACTCATTTTGGTTATGAGACTCAGTCTCTTGCAAGTCAGCATCATGTCTTTTAAACACAGACTCTAATGAATGATTAATTTGACATCAGAAACATTTATAAATTTTGGTAATAATTTTTGACGAGGCCCAGTTCAACCCACAGGAAAAATCTGTCTTTATTTCATTAAAAAAATCTCTAAATATATAATATAAACAAGGGATACAAGTTGTGGCCTCTCATCATCAGTTGGGTCCGTAAAATGCATTCGCACATGCAAACTATATTAAAATATCCTCCATTCCATCAAAGTTATTGTAGGAAATTAATATATATGAACCTGTCAGTACCCAAGTTCTACTACAAACTCTTCATTAAAACCTGTAACATCACAGGAAATAACTAACTTCATTTGCATTATAAATCATTTACAAGTGTAATTTTACAAGCAGAAATTTTAAGAATGTGTGTTAAAATGAAACAAGAAAGGTTATTTGTAGGTAATATCTTGTCCATACATCAAAGTGAGGCATTTTTTTTAAATTATCGATTTTTTCATTAATGTCCAACAATGAAAAGGAAAAAAAACGTCACATACTGAGTTGTTTTAACTTTTTCATGAATTGAGCAATTTTGAGTTGTATCCTCAAGGTACTTTATACCGGGAGGTACTTTGTACCAGGAATGTCCAGATATTACAAACAATACTTACATAAAAAATTTCTTTTGTATGCCAGTGTTTTTCACATTAATTTCATACAAAATATAGCACTTTTTGAAGAAAATTCAAAGTTTTAATGACCCTATTCACATAAATGTGTTTTTCGTATGAAAACCAGTAATATTGCTAACAATTTGGACCCAACATGATATTTTGAATGTGTGTGCAAATGCTTATCAAATTGTTACCCTTTTACTGTGTGATAACTGTTAAATATTGAATAGAACTTTAGTATCATTAACAGTAATGGACCATTTACATATGTTTTTAACTTTTTATTGATTGCTTAAAAGTCATTCCTGGTATTAAGTACTTAAAAACAAAAATGGCTGCCACTCATATGAGGGGTAATGTAACGATTCGCCACACTAACGATTCGCCACATAACGATTCGACACAGAGTAATAACGATTCGCCACAGTCAAATAACGATTCGCCACGTGTTCAAATACAAACTTTTTCACACCTGTTTTCAAAGCTGCATGTCCCAGATGAATCCAACTATTTCAAGAGAAACAGTACTTGAATTTGATTTATAAGAACAATAAAAATATTCAAGACTTCATTAATAATTTTATATGTGATCGGCGATTTTTTTACCGTTTTAGCAGAATTTTCACCATATTTCTACTACGTTACCTATTCAGTGAGGGCTATTTTTGCATATTTTGACCTCTTTTTGCTGATTTTGCTGACATACATTAGTTATACTAAAACAGCTTTTATTGAATAAAAACACATGAAAACCTAATATGTTATTACCAAAATTACATTACACATTGTAGATAAGTTAAACTTCGTTATTTATGTAAACTGGAAAATTATACGAAAAACATCTTTTATTGAATAAAGACACATGATAACAAACATATTTTATTACAAAATATATATACACAGTGTAAACTTATATGTTAACATTTTTTAAAACTTTACCCTGGAAAAGAATACTATACTAAATCACGGATTTAAATTACAGGGATCGGACACTCCTAGTAAACCTATATAAAACGTTAAAATATCTTGTCGCGCGTGTACCTGTACACTCGATATTGGGAAACCGATCAATAATTTTTAGTTTATCGGAGTTAAGCGTAAAATACCTGCGCTAAACTGATACCTTCTCTACAAAAAGTCTTGTTGTTATTCTATTTATTATCCGATTTTGAAAATTAAAAGACACATTTTAAGAAAATTGATTCTATATTGCAAATATCAATTTTTATTGAAAAAAATATATACTCTCTGTCCATACCGACGATTAAGAAATTGAAAACGATGAAAACCCGAAGTAATTTACCGTTAACTTTTCGGGTGCGCAATTGATACTTACAGTACAAAAAGTCTTGCTGCTTTACCATTTATTATCCGATTTTGAAAATTAAAAGACACATTTTCAGAAAATCGGCCCCTTATTGCAAATATCTATTTCTATTGAAAAAAATATATACTCTCTGTCCATACCGACGATTAAGAAATTGAAAACGACGAAAACCTGGAGTAATTTACCGTTAACTTTTCGGTGTGCGAAATTGATACTTACAGTACAAAAAGTCTTGTTGCTTTAACATTTATTATCCGATTTTATAAATTAAAAGGAACATTTTGAGAAAATTTGTCCCTAATTGCAATCATCTATTTTTATCTTAAAAAATATATATGTTCTGTCCATACCCACGATTAAGAAATTAAATACGACGAAAACTCGGAGTAGTTAACCGTTAACTTTTCGGGGTGCGAAATTGATACCTTCAGTACAAAAAGTATTGTTGGCGTATCATTTATTATCCAATTTTGGAAATTTGTAGATTATATTTGAGAAAATTTATTTTTTATTACAAATATAGGTGTCAATTAGATAATAATATATACATATATAATTAGCCCGTCTCCCTTCATACCGACGATTAAGACAAAGCCGTGTACAAACGGTTAAAATCTTCTTATTTTTTCAAATACAACATTAAACTTGATTTACGGATATTTAAAAAAATACCATTTCAGACTATATCACGGCTTCTATTATTTAATGAGCGAAGTTGAAGTTGCTTTTATTAAGGGATGTACGAGTAATAGTTGGATTTGTACTTTCCTGATGCAGTTATTTTCCGTCATATCGTAGAACAATTCAACTATACATGTATTGTTTTTTGGTAAGCACGGGCGTTTACTGGACTTTTTTTTCAATCATATTTTAAATACAAAAACAGGCCCTATTATTTCTTTTGGAAGTCATTATAACATTTTTGGGATCATTGATATTGATACAGGCATTCACAGTTTGAGTCGGTATTGAGCGGTCGTTTTTTATCTGGTAAGTGTAAATTATTCATAAACACCTCATTAAAATTAACGTGCCTAAAACTTTTTAATTAAAGAATAAATTTCTTTGAAGTTTCTTGATTAAAGCAGGAACGTTAAAATTCAGGTAGTAAGTGTTAATAACAGTACTTAAGTATCAATGCTATTACCAGCACAATTTTGTGTTCTATATTTTACTATTGCATGGTACTTGTCTATGTTAAGATGGCTTATTCAAATGAGGATTTTATCAATTTTTCTGACCTAGACCTAAATTTGCTTTTGGGGGATTTTACAGAAAGTGAGTACAATAATAGTGACAGTGATTTTGAATCATACAATATGAAACAGTAGATTTTTTGAAAACATTTATTTACATACTTGAACACATTTTTAATTTCTTTCAATTATATATGTAATTATTCATACAAATGTATGAATTTCAAGTCATTTGAAGATTTCATGTATGTGAAATTGTCATTTGTTATATGCCTTTTACAGTTCTCACGGAATTCACTAAATATCCTTAATGATTCATTTTCCACAAACTCATCAAGATCAGTATCTGGACAATATCTGTAAGGCTTGTCAAGAATAACAAAAAAACTCGTCAGCATGACATCCATCACTGTCAAAGCACTCAACTCTTTCTAGAGGTGTTTCATAACTTTCTGTAGTACCATCATTAACGAAGAATGTGTCACCATGCGATTTTGATAAGAGGTCTTCCGCCAGAACATCTGCTGACAAATGTTGCTTTCAGTTGCTTCCGTGGTTTCTCTCGCTTCATTCTTCTACCAATTTGTCCTTTTTTTCTTGTCATGATTGTATGTTGATATATCACCAAATGATTGTACCAGGATCAATAATCTGAAAATATATATAAAATACCCATAAAATTGAACACATACAAATCAAATATTGAGAAACATTGATGAAGTAAAATTAGTTTTTTCACTTTTAAAAAATTGTTTTTTCTGCAGTGAAACATATTTTCACTTGTGTCTTGCAGGAATATTTTCTTCTAAATTCAGCCGATATTTATTTGCTTTGCTGCAGCCCATTTATTTTCAAGATTTTGAATCCAGCTTCTGAGTCAGACAATAACACAAATGAGTTTGTTTGACAACCCTGTTGACAACTGATTTTGCTGTCCCTGATTGTGTTTCAGATTTATATGCAAAATACATGTACAGCAACCAAAACATCACTCATGCCATCTGTAATATTTATATCCCAGCTCAAATTAATTTAATGCTGGTCATATACTTATCATTAAAATGAAAAATTCAAGACTTCACTCCTATTTCTTTAAGTAAATTTTGTCCAGGATTTCTACATGTATTTTGAGTGTTATTGAATCCTCCATGACGTTCAGGAAAAGGGTAAAACTTAAGTTATATGAACAGAATATTAACAATTAACTTAGATGTAATAAACCAAAAATAGACAAATTTCAAACTAAAATTACCAAGGAAGTTTGTAAGAAATTCCCTAATTTTTACTTCTGTTGCACTAATCACACAATGGTGATAATAATAAGAACGAATTTTTGAACAACAACAGTTTTCCCTTCTATGAAATGGGAAGCAAATTTCGAAGATTTTTTTTTATTTATGCGGCCATCTTTGAACGAGGGGTGATTTAAATCTAATGTTGCGGTATTCTACAGCCATATTCTAAGAAAACCATTTATCTGACTGCACAAATCAATACTATGTTAGTATAAACATTACAATTTAAACATAAAATAAATTCCTGTTTTGTCATATTTGGGCAGCAAAATCAGCTTATTTTCATTCGTGTTCACCGCCATCTTGAATAATTTTACCGTTAAGATAAGCAAAATTACAATACTAAGTTTCACGGCAGTTTGATTGTTTTAGGAGATAAATAAAATAAATACTTAATGTAAACATATTCAATAATACTTACTTGACAAATAGTGTGTACCAAAGTTGTATAAACAACGTAATCAACAGCAAAAACCGAGTTTTATTATCAAATGTTTACACATGACATCCTCGGTCTACGCCATTATTTCATCTTCTTCCGGTGAGAAGATCTCGCGCATGCGCGCGGCCCGATTTAAAGCCCCATCGGAAGTGTCCCATCCTTGTCAATTAAAGTCCGTGACTAAATCAGCTGTTATTGAATAGAAACACATAAAAACATATTTCATTACCAAAATGACAAAAAAGTTTGTTATTTCTATAGCTCCAAAAAATAAAAAAATAGCTTTTTATAATATCTTTTTTTATTATTAATATCTCAACATTTTTTATTTCCAAAATAACATAACACATTGTTAACAAAACAAAGTGACAAAAGCTACATGTAGTAGTATCAAATTGTGCAGTTGTTCACATGCATTGTCAGAGAATTAAAGGATTATTTCGGCGTCAATTAAATATTTCTACAACAATCCTAAGATGATTGGCTTGTTTAAATTAAAGGTGTGACAAATGTTTTAGATGTGCGTTCTTTAATCAATTATCGTAAATCAATTTTCGCAATGAACACATGTTTTGCAATACCCATTTTTTTTAATATTTGACATATATATATTATATAAATTGACATATATGTTTACGATTAATACATATTCAATATTTATTTCAACATATAATTACTTTCTTATAAATGTACTCCTGTAATAATGTACGTTACTTTGATAAAAAAAAAAATCCACGATGGGGGCCTTAACTTCATATTACTTGTATTAAGAAACATTATTAAATTATTGTCATTGTCAAATTATTAAAAAAAGAAAAAAGTTTGTTGATAACTAAAATATCATTGTTATAATCATACTGTGGTGAATCGTTATTTAACTGTGGCAAATCGTTATTACTCTGTGGCGAATTGTTATGTGGCGAATCGTTAGTGTGGCGAATCGTTACTAATTCATATGAGGTTATTAACAGAACTATCTTTTTGAAGTATAGTTAAAATTTCTTTTGGATGATAGTTATTTTTATCAAAAAATGGTACCTTCTACAGAAAATAACTATTTTATCCTAGATTTTTTCTGTATTATATGATGGTAGGCCTAATAAGGCTTACACTCCCGGTAGATAGTACAACCAGGATACTCGTATAGATCTATGGCCTTGCGCCTGTGGTTCGACCACCGTGGCACGCTAACACAGTTGTGTACCTGCAATGCTTGTGCTTTTTCTGATAATTCCTGTCCCTCGATCTAGACCTCCGTTCATCTCTATATTTATCTTTGCGTCCCATAATGTTTAAATTTCAATTTTTCGACAAAATAACGTTTATCAGAAATTTCACAAAAGTCTTGTTTTACAAACGCTTGAAATAAATACTAAATTCCGTCAGGGAGCTAAGATTCCGTCTGTCACCGTTACGGTTATAGGTTGAATAACACTAAATACTTTCTTTGTCCATAATGTGATAAGAATAATGAAAATTGTAAAATTACCAAATTATTATTGACAGAATTTCAATTTCGTGTGAAATTACGCAAGTAGGTAAAAATAAAAATAGCTTTACATTTTGTCATAATTGTGTTCAACTTTATCATGCAAAAGTAATCAATAGTCAATGAAGCAAAGCGGTGGTCTGCTACCTCTCAAGTTTGAGCCATACTTGGGTCGTGAACATTATTCCTCATATGTCACCAGTACAGGTGTGTTCCAGCAAGTGGACTGGGATGTGATGTATATACTTAGTTGCAAGAACTAGCTAAAATACATGTAAATATGTTTAAACCAAACTGACTAATTAATAAACCATATGATCCGCGGATGCATCTATAAACATTGAATGTTTGGAATGTATTGATAGCATTCAATCTTTAAAAAGAGTGGGGAAGTCTTTTTGTTTGGGTAAAATTTATTTTTCATCATCAACATTTTTCATTATCATTATTGGTCAACAATCATTACAAAATTCAATCTTTTGAAATATATTACATGTTCAACAACAAAAAATAGTCTAATGTCTCTTTATATTTATTTGTGCTCAAACAATAAATAATCAATATTCAATTATCATTTTATGAATATCATTGGTATAGAAATGGCCAGTTTTTTGTGTATAGATGCATGGTTAACAGCATATTGTTTTAACAGACATGGTGAAGGAGGTGTAATTAAGTTATTTTTCTTTAGCATGTTATAATTTTGGTTTGAGGTTGAAAAAAAAAATTAATCAAAGCACTTTTCATTTTCGTTCTTTCTTAAAAATGTAGTTTTTATAATCTATAACAAGAACTGTCGGAGGACAGCAATGCTCGACTTTTCGATAGAGTTGTCACAGGGATGTTTTATTGGGTATAAAAAGGGGCATTAATATGTAAATAAGTAAATCAGAGTTGTGGGACCTGTGCCAATCATGTTAAACAATCACAGTGAAAATGTATGTTAAGTTTCATTCCATTTCCTTCAGTAGTTAGGGAGATACCAACTTACAAGCAAAAAGTTAACCATGAGCGTCATTGAGTGTAAAAAGGGGCATAAATTTTGAAATAAGCAAATCAGAGCTGTCCGATGACAGCATGCTCTACAATTAGAACAGTTATCAAAATAATGGCATTGGACTAATGGAAAGGACAGGGATTGAATACAGGTCTACCTTTTGACAGAGTTATGTAAAACTTACATGTAAACATTAACCAAGAGACTAAGTAAAAAAAGGGGGAGATAAATCAGCCTAAATACATGACACAGATATGAGTGCCATTCAGTGATCATTATTTATGACCACAAATATACATATAAAGTTTCAAGTTTGTATCTAAATTTTTTAATAGTTTCAGAGATATGCAAAACTTGCATGTTAAACTTAACCACGAAACGAAGATTTTTTTTAGTACAAAAGGGAGCATTCATTATTCAATCAAAATACATGGCATTGAGATGTGACCTTCAATTATGACCCTAAGTACATGTGTAAAGTTTCAAGTAAATATCTTTGATAGTTTTTAAGACCTTTAACCTTTAACCAAAATTTCTAAGTTTCAAAGGGGTATAATTCTGCAAATATTGCATACAGAGTTATGCAACTTTGCAAACTGATGTACATTATTACTATAAAAACGTATTGTAAATTTCAATTGAATATCTCAAGCAGTAATTGAAATATTTGACTTTACAAAAAACTTTAACCAACTTTAACGACAACATGGAGGCGACTGCAATAGCTCTTAACATTCTTCGAATAGTCGAGCTAAAAACAGTGGAAAAGATGCACTCATCTTCCATAGCATGTTTCTGTAATACTCCCAGGCAAATACCCTTTACCTTTAAAATATGCTGTCCAAATGTTGATATCAAATATTATACAAAATTTAAGTGGACTTTTCATTAATAAATTCAGTATACCAGTACCAGGAATAACAAAAATTAACACCTTGTAATTTTGATAGTTTATTTTATAATGATCAATATATATGCACATCATAATACACACTATATGACGTACAATGTGAGGGCAATAAACCAAATTTATTTCATGAAATTCACTGTCTACTCAATAATCTTTCTACTGGCATGTAAAAATGGAAATTGATGAAAAAATCTTTCATTTTACACAATAATGCATGACACTTTATAATTATTATTAATCATTCAACTTTAGATGAGTGGGCATTTGAGCTTCTATACACTCAAAATTAGAACCAACACGTACCTATAATTTCATGACAAGACATAAGGTTTTCAATTTGGAATTGCTCAGGACAATTACATCCTTTTAACTATTTGAAACTACCTAAATACATTCAATGATCATAAAAACATACAACAAATACACTATACTCTCTCAAACTTTAACAAAGGACTCCCAATATTTTGTAAAACATGCGTTTAAATATTTGTAAAACATGCGTTTAAATATTTGTAAAACATGCGTTTAAATATTTGTAAAACATGCGTTTAAATATTTGTAAAACATGCGTTTAAATATTTGTAAAACATGCGTTTAAATATTTGTAAAACATGCCTTTTGATATCGAGTAGTTATATATCATTATGTAACCATCAATGTGTATGAAATTTTTAAAAGGAAGATTACAGATGTTTGAAGCTAATAACAAGAGCTGTCGGTAGGACAGCAACGCTCGACTATTCTTAGTGCTTGATAGTGAAAAAAAATGCTTGATACAGTTACCTCCTCCTGTTTACAGGTTGGGGTCATGATGGTGAACATGTGTGCAAAGTTTCAAAGCCATATGTCAATGGACTTTGAAAATATTTGAACTATTACAAAAACTATAATGTAAATTCTAAGTCGAAAAAGGGGCGTAATTCTGTCAAAATGCTTGATAGAGTTACCTCCTCCTGTCTTCAGGTTGGGGTCATGATGGTGAACAAGTGTGCAAAGTTTCAAAGCCATATGTCAATGGACTTTGAAAATATTTGAACTATTACAAAAACTTTAACGTAAATTCTAAGTCGAAAAAGGGGCGTAATTCTGTCAAAATGCTTGATAGAGTTACCTCCTCCTGTCTACAGGTTGGGGTCATGATGGTGAACAAGTGTGCAAAGTTTCAAAGCCATATGTCAATGGACTTTGAAAATATTTGAACTATTACAAAAACTTTAACGTAAATTCTAAGTCGAAAAAGGGGCATAATTCTGTCAAAATGCTTGATAGAGTTACCTCCTCCTGTCTACAGGTTGGGGTCATGATGGTGAACAAGTGTGCAAAGTTTCAAAGCCATATGTCAATGGACTTTGAAAATATTTGAACTATTACAAAAACTTTAACATAAGTGGTTAAGCCGACGCAGACGCCGACACTGACGCTGACGCCGACGCTCGGGTGACTACAATAGCTCTACTTATTCTTATCGAATAGTCGAGCTAAAAATTAAACTTTTTACACAAAGAGTAAGACTTCATACAAAACTATTTGCATTGATTCATTTAGAAACTCTTAGAAATATAAATCATGCAGAACAAAACGATACCACACATAATTATACTCAAATTATCTTGAGAAAAATATACATTGTCATAAAATTAAAACTCAGTATCCAACAATCATCTGATCTAGAATATTTTCATTGAATGTTGCTGCTGCAGTCCTAATATCCATGCTGTACAGGAATTTCATGAGAGATAAAGTTACTTAAATATTCCACCAGCAAATACATGAGATAAAACTATGACATGTCGTTTAAATGGGTCCACTATAAGATAGGAGAATGTCTGATCATGTAACTTTCTATCTGGAAAAAACAGCTCGCCTTCTTTATCCTACAATATAAAATAAAACAAGTTCATTTTATAGAAATATGTGAAATATGATGATGAAATATAATAACTATATATAGCCTATGTTTTATATAAAAAAACTCCTGAAAAATTTGATTATTTGTATGATTAAAATTTAATGGCGTTTCCTATACTGTGAATAGAATTTTCTATTTTTTAACAAATCAATTTAACGTTTAAAAAATCAACCTACTCACATGTACATGTTGAAATGTCATTATCAACACATAATATTTGACAACATTTTTTTCGACAAAAAATCAGAATATTTACTTTATGACAGAAATTTTAATTGCATGTACTTACCATGGCCTTAAATTTGAACACACTTGATGTTATATTTAAAAGTTTTGTATCTGCATTCTTTTGAACACTGAAATATCAAAAATTACTTGTTTTATTATTCATCAAATTCAAAATCATTTAAATGTGCATACCAGAAGTATACAAAACTTATACACATGTATATTAAAATGTTAAGAAATGTATAAATAATCAATAAATTTGACAGCATGATTTACTATTTACATCCCTATACTTTCACCTGTTTCCTAACACATTATTTTAGAATATTTGGACATATCATGGGTTACTTCTATGGATAGCCAGTGTCATGGACTCGCTTAAATTCCTTTATTTGTTTCCACCACAGTATTTTCACTGTTCATAATGCTTATTAGAAAGTCCTAAGAATAAGTACACAGCATACTGTTTTAAACCATTGAAATAAATGTAATTTGTTTGTCTGGTTGTTAGTTTGGGAGTTAAGGACTGATTTAAACAAATATTTGGCCATATCTCTGCTGTCAGTCAATTTAACTGTCTCTCCTGAATAACTCACCAGCAAGTAACCTACTTAAATAAACCAACATGATTTCTGAATCAGCAGTGAGAAAAAAATAACCATTAGACACAATGTCTGAGATCAGTTGTCATGCAGAATTTTTGCCCAACCTAAGGATAAAACTAGAAACCCCTGGATTACAAATATAAATTACTGATACACATGGGAAAAGAATTACAAAAACACTTCATACAAATACTTCACTCACTCTTATATCTTTTCTTTGACAACAACAAAAATATTCCACAAAAATAAATCTTAGACACCATTACAAAATTTTAGAAGTATTCAATATTTAGTTATGATATTAACCTGATAAGATCTTTATACAGTGATTTTGTAATGTCCAGGTAGGCATCTATCGTGTCCTCGTACTGGCAGATCTGTCCTCCTAGACAAATATGTTTGAACAAACAAAACAAAAACTGTGATTTTTCTGATTCATTGTATACTTCATAATGGTCTGACTCCTCACTCAGTAACATCTGAAATTAGTACATTAGTTATATATAATCAAAATATAGATTATAATCCTGGGTCTCCTGTTAAACAATGACTCTGTCCAGATGATCTCTATATCAAAGAAACAGATTTTGGATGGAAGTTTGTGTAAACTGAAAGGGTTAAACAAATTGAAATAGATCAAAGAGACTATTTACCCAAGACTTCAAGTTGCATTCTTGGTTTGATGAAAGCCATTTCTCATAAATATCATAATTCAAATTTGCAATGGAAACATTCATATTTTGCTTGATTTTTTTAAATTTTATTTTAAACAATTTAACCAATTACTGCATGTGCATTTTGTGAAAAAATGGCTGTTTTCATTGAAAAGTCTCCCGTTACAAGTTCAAATTGCTATAAAACTATAAAAACTGCTTCAATACTAATCAAACTTGGCACAAATGTTGACTTGACCATTGCCTTTGTAACAACATGCTCAAGTCTCAAATTGCCTGATACCATGTCAACGAGGGGACAACTCAAAATTTCCAAAAATCACTATTTTGCTTGGTTTTTCCATCAAAATTGATTTCAAAGTGCTGCAACTTCTCAATGGATTGAGATAGAGTCAAAGGCGCTTTTCAGTGTTTGTAACAAGTTACCATTATGATCGACCTGGGTCTACTTTTAGACTCTCACAAATCAAAAATTTTCATGGAGATGAGGTTGGCTACCGCCCCCTTCAAACCCCCAAAACAGAAGGGGGCACATCCCCCATTTGGCAACCCCCTGATGTATCTTTTGGATATGGGGCGGCGCCGAAAAAGTGGTCACTTTTTTTAACGACATTTCACAAACAAAAACAAGTGTTGGGGGCCTAAATAAGGCATTTTTTCACTATTTGAGACAACAAAAAGGGTGGGGTGTGAAAAAGGCGCTAAAAGGCATGTATATCGGGGTAATGGGTTAATTTGTACAGAAAGTTTCGGTAAGCAACCAGTTTACTTAATATAATGCCTAACTTTTAGACATTAGTATACAAAAATACATGTACTGCCTCTGATTTATTAATACTGCTGAATGTGTGTGTGAGGTGTTTGTCCTATTCTAATTTTAAATTAGAGCCTAGCTTGTTTGAGGAATCACGACCTCAACATGCTGATACAACCCTTAACTTGCTAGAACCAACAGTGATTGACCTTTGTCATCAGAGAAGAGCCAGGCCAGTCTGCACATCTGTGCAATCTGAGCAGTCTCTACACTGTTGGCCGGCTTAACTTCAAATTTTCATCTTGATATCCCTAACATTGAAAATGGACACTTCCAAAAAGGTGGACAAGTCCATTTCACAAACTCAGCAGATTAATGGTTAATGAAATTGAGCAGTCATTATAAATTAGAGCCTGCAGGTTTGACTGAACCAATGTTCTAGGTTAAATAGAAGGCAATTAACACCAACTTTATATAACCAGATTATATTATAAAAGTTGGTGATAACTGCCTTCTAATAACCTCAGTAACTGCAGAATAGTGTGACTTTATTATTATATATTAGTGACATAGACAAAATATGGAGAACAAAGTTTTTTTTTATAAAAATACATACCGTAACAGCTATCAGAAGAGAAATTTTCTATCAAGAATACCAAGACTGGAAACATACACTTACTTTTCTCAATTCATCTGAGATGGTAAAATCTTCATAAAACTCATCAAAACATTTTAGAACATGCCCTGATTCCCTGACAACTGTACCATACAATTTATCAAAGAATGACATAGACAATATGGAACATGGCACGGATTCTACACCCACTGATTCAGCTGCAGTACCTGTAATGAAGATAATGTCTTATTTATATTAGTTACAAACCTATATCAGTACTTTCTCGGTCCTGCTCTAAATTACTATATAAATTTGAGCAAATTTATTTCATCTTAGATCATATTATCATCATCATCATATTTTCACTTCTTTATTAACATGATATCATAAGAGCAATTTTTGCATAATACTGTAATACATTTTAGGCAATTATGAAGATGGTAAACTCTTGCCTTATGCTAGCTAAAATTATGTTATATTTGTTCTCATAGTCTATGGAATATAATATTAATTTGGCGGTAATGCTTGTTACATCCTAAATAATTCTTTTAAAAGCAATCAACAACCTGAACTGGAAAACAACAAATGCATGTCTATGCATTATTATCCACTATTTATATGGCACATGCAACACTACAAAGTACAAATATTTTAAGTATTATCAACACTGACTATTTATATCAGCTGTCAAAATAGCTTCATTTTTTGCAGAAGTCTACCAACTAAATGTACTTGATAAGATAAGATAAGATAAGTTTTATTTCAAGTCAGCAAGTTTTCAACAGTACAACATAAGCTCTGTTGAAACTTTGCCGACTTGAAATAAAACTTATCTTATCTTACATTTAGTTGGTTGACTTCTGCAAAGAATGAAGCTATTTTGACAGCTGATATAAATAGAGTGTTGATAATACTTAAAATATTTGTACTTTGTAGTGTTGCATGTGCCATATAAATAATGGATAATAATGCATAGACATGTAAGGGCATGTGAAAATTTTTAGGCTAAGCAACCTAAGCCTTCTTCAACTGTGAACTAATTTGCAAGTTATCTAGTTGGAAAATAAAAGCATTGAAAAAAAATAAAGAATGCTACCTTATCTTAGATTAGTTTAAGCATACACTTTTATAAAGATATCATTACTGTGATACTGTGCAAAATGTCAGTGTTTGAGAAAAACACTTCTCAAACATACACAATTAGGGTTGACAAAGCAAATAATAATACTAATCATACAAACCTACTGCAGCAGAAGTCCCTTTTCCACTTGGAACTTTCAAAGTTGAAGTAACAGCAGGGTCTCTCATAAAATCCTGTGTAAAGTAAAGATAAACTCATCATTGTCTAAAGAAATAGTTTAATCTAAAAAAAGAAAGAGAAAAAGTATTGCCATTTCATACTAAACATGTATTAGTGATGAAATGGTAAGTAAAAATTCTGTGTTTTGACAAATTAAGATTATGAACAAAGTTGAGAGAGGGTCATGATTTCCATGAATGTTATTCATGTACATGTATACTAAACAATAGGCTAATTACCATCCTATTTAAGAAAACTGCTTGAACTGAGAAGGAATTCTAATCTAGTTTTTCTTCCGTAATTTAAAAAAAAAATCAAGTAGATCACAGTAAAATACCAGAGGACAGTAATACATGTATGTGCATTTTTATCAATTTTTTGCACCTTCCTATGATCTGTCATGAAGTAAATGAATCAAAATAAAATAATTAATAATTGTTTGTTTGTTTGTTTCATTTTACGCCTTTTTCCAACAGTATTTCAGTCATATAGGCGGGTAGTTTCCTAACCATCGTTCCTGGAGAGTTACACCAGTACTAGACTACCTTCCTCCGCGCTAAACTACCAAAGCATCTCCCGGGGATCGAACCCACGCCAGAGAGGTAACTGGATTAGAAGTCATCAACTCTAACCCCTCGACCACGGAGGCGGTTAAATAATTAATAAAATCATGTGTAAAATATTGTTATATAAATATACATGCATCATATAAAACCCTTTGATATGTCATACACAGTTCACAGATACCAATATAAAAATATAAATAAATTATATACTTTTCACTTTTAATATTAAAATTATTATTGTAAAAATCGTTTTTGTAACTTAAAGTAAAATGCATATACATGTGACACAGTTAATCCCTTCCATAGATAAAATTAAATGAAACTTTGCTTTAACTGAAGGGATACAAGTACAAATTACATGATTATTGTTGTTATATGGCCATTGGGCATTTAAAAGCACTATTTTCTTACCAGAACAAATTCATCTTTTTGATATGACTGAAATGGTTGGTCAAATGTGTACATCTGGGCTAATAAATTCCCCTGCATACCCCTTAAAATAAAATGACGTACATTAGTAATTTGCATGACTAATTATGTAAAAGTCAATTGGAAAGACTTGTATACTGTGCTCCTCTTAGTTCACAGTACTTAACACTTTGAAACAAGACAGAAAACAACAAATGAAACTTATGCTACAAAAATTGTCTATTAATCAATAACATGTAGGTATTTTCTGCTGTGTGACACCAGGAAACAACAACATGTTTAGTCAAAGTCAGTTTTAACAGACCAAATGTAGACCATATGTCGGCCATTTTGAAAATAATATGTCATCATTAAAATCGCGGTAATAGTGTTACATTTCAGTTTTTATTGTTTCAGTTACTAACATTTCTACATGTTATATAGCTTAAGGTCTTCAGCGTACCCGTTTATATACTATGACATGAATGCCCCATCAGATGAAAACAAAAATGTTAAATAGCGGCTTATAAAGTTTTGGAAGCCAGAACTACATCACAGGAACTTGAAATTCTATCAAATAACCAATATCAATTATAATATACAAATATACCGTTTCATTCCTTGTGTTTTTTTTATAGTACTATATAGTACTATAAAAAAAACAAAAAAACACAAGGAATGAAACGCCTTTTCCCCACCCGAACATAATTTACGCCGAACAAATCAACAAAACAACAGATCAAAATATTCTATCTGGCCATTTCGATAAACAATACATAAATGCATCAAATACCACCGATAACTTTTTAAAATCGCGTAGCTGTGTAGGAATTATTCAACATTTTCTGATTATTTCCCGCGATCTGAGTTTGTCGCCGACTCCATTCCGTAACGTCACTGGATTTTGAATCGAGGAGAATAATATTTATTAAAATTATTTTTAATAAGTTCCAAAAAATAACAGGTATGTATAAAACTTTTATACAAATTATTCTATGTAAATAGATTTAAACATCTTCATGTAAAACCTTTTTAACAAATTACTTTTATAAAAACATTTGAAAGGGAAACCCCAAACATGAACGGTAAATCTTTGAAAAATACTTTCGTTTTAAAAAAAAAATTGAGTACTCTATTTGATATGGCCCAGCAAATAAATTCAGCCCTGTCGTAAGAAATAAATCAGTCATTTGTTCTAGTTTGACAGTATTTTACTTGCAAACCTGTTATTTTTGGAACTTGTTAAAAATAATTTTAATAAATATCATTCTCCTCGAATCAACATCCAGTGACGTCACGAAATGGAGTCGGCGACAAACTCAGATCGTGGGAAATAATCAGAAAATGTTGAATTATTCCTACATAGCTACGAAATTAAAAAAGTTATCAGTGGTATTTGATGCATTTATGTATTGTTTATCGGAATGGCCAGATAGATTATTTTGATCTGTTGTTTTGTTGATTTGTTCGGCGTAAATTATGTTCGGGTGGGGAAAAGGCGTTTCATTCCTTGTGTTTTTTTATAGTATATAGGGGGTATATTTTGCATATTATCGTTAATAGTGATAGAATTTCAAGTTCCTGTGACTACATGTTATATTGCTTAATCTTAAATATTAAAATATCTATACTTTGTAACTCAAAATTTATTTTTTCAACAAACAAGAACATTAAGAAAATGATGATTGTTTCAGATGTTTGCGCAAATTTAATGGACTATTGGTGTTTTTTGCAGAAATTTGTAAAATTTTGTTCTGTTTTACATAAAAATCTCGAGATTTAAAATATTTTTCACAAAAACTTTGTTGTTTAGGTGTATGAATAAAATATGTCAATTCTGGTCACATGAAAATATGCCATTACCTAATGACGCAGAATTATTGATGTCGAGTATAATGACTTAAAAAGTACATGTAGACTACTGTATTTGAAAATATATTTATCTAAAAACAACCGTTTTTCCTCTGATTCAAAGGGAAAAGCATTAAGTACACGTTAAATAATAAATGGGAACTACTGTGTAGTGCCTTACATTGTGACGAGTCGTCAATGGGGCGAATGGTCATAAAATTTATAAATTTATTTTATATCAATAATTATATGATAATCTAATCTATCATAAATCTTTACAGACTTTGATAAAAATTTCGCATCCCCACGTATGATGTGTTACCATTTTGTTAATAGTTCTTTGTTATCTCTATCTTCTAATGTTGGAAATTTCTTTCCTTCCGACACGTGAAAATGGAATTTTTGTTGTCTGTCCTCCATGTTGTAAACAATTTCGGAAGACCTCAACTTTTATCCGTATCCTCATTATCTTGGATTATGTGGCCCGACAGCGGGTTATCGATTATGCAAACACGACTTTAATAAAGCCGTGGTGTAATGTACAGGCAACAATGATAAATACATTAAGCTTTCATAAGTCTTAATTTTAATTGAAGTAATTTAGTAAAATACGGACCGTGACCAAAACCACACGTCAGCATGCCACGCCTTACGACTTTCGCTGTTATATTCAATATTAATAGATCTATACCAGTATAATCTACCAATATTATAGAGCTCTGGCAAAAAAATATCAGAGTTTAAAGTTGCGCCTCACCTTAATTATGATTCTATTTCGAGATTGGGAAAAACCATTGCAACGTCAGGTAAGCCTATGTTAGATAGTTACAGTACAGTACGTACAGTAAAACGTGACATAAATTCAAACTATTTACCGCACGATGTTTTTTTATTCGCGTTTATTTTCGTCTACCAGTGGAGCCAAATATGGACTCTACTGTATAAATTTCGTGTCAGTTGCGTAGCTGTACGTATGCATATTCTGTCATACACATGTACACACAATATCCATAAAATTATCACTTGAATGGAAAAAGATGAAGAACGTACTGTCTTAAACACGTGCAGACATTGCGAACGCAATATGAGATCTCGGGCGAAAATACATTTGTACACAGGGATATACGTTTTCACTTTTGGAACAGTTCTAAATACAGACATACGGCTTTAAGCAATTGAATTCTATTTACTGTATGATTGTACCTTATACATGTGTGCATATGTTGCTGTTTATACAATATACATGTATGTATATATGCATGTTATCCCAACACTTTAATTGTTGCTATTTCTCAAATATATAAGCTATACTTTTTAAGTTAAGAAATAGTTACCCTTCATTCTGTTAATACATAAATAGTGTCACTCCATTCCAATCGAACGATTCCATATGTCTTTATTGCATTAAAAAAGCATTCATGCAAGGCTAATTTGTCAACTCAAAGCAATCAACGTACGTAATGTTGTTAACTGTACAATTGATACAGCTAGTGAGCGGTCATGGGTTCTTAGTTAAAGAGTTTTAAGTGCACATTTCATACAATTAATTTATCGGTTATGTATCTACATCTGCTTCTATCGCAACTACTCGGCCCTTTCAGTCAGTCTTCGGATAAGGTTATTATAGATAATAGCTGAGGATGTTCCGATTGCTGCTTGTGAGATATTAATTAGAAATTCAACTTCAGGAGTATTTATGCCTAGTAAAAGGTAGAAAATTATATAAAATAGCTTTAAACAAGTTCTCCTATAACGTACTTTAGATATCGCCAATTTACGGGCGTCACCGTGTTTCTACGAAATTTTGAATTAATTTAAAAGCGGAAAGTCATTTTAAGTACATTATATCTGCACATTTTGCCGTGACTGTTTTTTTTGTGTGTGTGTGCAAAACATTCAGTAAATTTGAACGTTGAGATTGCAGTAGACGATGTGGTGAGTTAATTTAAAGATGTTTTTCTAATTTATCAAATTGTAGGAATGAAAGTGCAGTCTGGAAACGTCACCATTTTGAACCTGCAGGCATACCAAAATGGCGACGTTTCTTTTTGATAACCTTAAAACTTAAAATTCACTTCGATTATTGTATTATACCTATCCGGAAAGTGCATTAAGTGCTAGTGTGTGTTTGTACATTTTTTTTTTTCATTTGTAATTATACACAGGGTGCATGTACAGTATAGCCCGTATATTTAATTAAATAAAGCTTCTTACAAATAGAGAGGAAACTAATACAATCTGTATCAGTGATAACTTAATCCTGCAAGTTCACGTTTTCGTGAGATTTTCCAAGACCTTGTATCGACATTCCTGAATTTGCAAAGACAATAAAAGGGAAATATGATTGTAAAGTATTTGGAAATACGACAAAATTGAACCATGAAATTATAATTAAATGTAAACTAATATAATAAAAGTCTCTGGTACATATGTATTTTGCATTCCCCCTTTTCTGTTATCGAAAAAAAAGTCACCTTGACCTTTAATTGACATTGAACGTCAAGGTCAAATATTAGATTTGAACTTTGTTTGCTTGTTTGTATGCTTTGTAGGCGTATTCTTAACTATAATATTTTTCGTCTGACATATTTTGACTATAGAAATAAGAAAAAAAGTCGAGCTTGACCACCGCTAGGTGGTGGCTCTTTTTAAAACTGTCATTGCTTTTTTGATGCCCTGCTCTATCACACAATTTTATTGATTGAAGTGTACGTTGAAAACATAAAAAATAATGACAAACACAGAAGAAAGAAAAGAAAAACATTTAGATTATCGGGGCACTAAAAAGAAGTCACACATTAATATCACATACATGTATATATAAGTAATTAACACATATATACTTATATATACGGTATTACTATGCAAAGACGTAAAGCAAAAATGTGTTACATTAATTTTGTACTAGTATTCCGGATTTACTTGCCTTACATACGTATAATTCATTAAGATAAATGAAGATGGTGCATCAGTGAGTGCTTTAAAGTGCTAGAAAACTTTTCAGTAAATATTCAAGTACATGGCAGACAAATTCTATTGGATAACCCATTATTGTCTAATATACTTCCTGTTTGTCAAGAATCTGTCAGATTAAGTCAACCCTTGGTTTACTGAAACAAAATCATGTTTGTCCTGCGAATTCAGATAGCGAGTGCCAGCTTCTTCTCCCTGTAGATAGGGAATGGCATCGTGCCGGATACAAGGAAATGTGTGCCAATCATGCATCTATAAAGTCAACCAAGTGTGCAGTCCATGAGATGTGAAAGTTACACAATATACCATAGAACACTAGCCAAGTCCCTTTGGAAACAAACATAAAAAATTGCAACTCATGATAAGAGTTAGATTGTATCTAGAAAGGGTAATGAGCGCCTCACGCATTCAGAGAAGATTGGCAAAATAAACCAAATTCTCATCGAGTTTATTGGCAGAAAATGAGAAATTTAAAAGAAAACTAAAGGCACGAATTGAAGAGAGCGTTTGTCAATAAGCGATTGTTAAACACGATTTTGATTTGTACTTTTAATTGCAATTCTTACTATTTCAATGATAAAGTCCATAATAAGAAAGCAAAGCATTGTACATTGTGTGTGGACATGTAACTTTATGAGGTTACAAATACGCATTATCAGATGAGAACTTTTTGTACTATTTTCAATGATGCCATACTAGTGCAAACTATAAAGCATTTTGTTTCTTTGTAACATAACTTATAGTGGGATAAAATGTAAAAAGGTGACAAATAATGATAGTGGAGACTGCCACACTGAAACAAATCAACGACTTTTGAACTATTGTTGAACCAGAACTGAGAACAATTGTAGACAATGCATCATCCTGAAATGTGTGATGATCATTCAAGGTAACGTAGAGGACGTTACGGTAAATGAATCTACAATTTTTGGACAACATAGTAAACGCTAAGCTTTTGTCACAACCTTGTTTTAAATAACACAAAATTATTGTGTGCGTTAAAATGAAAGCATGCCTGGCTAAGAATAACACATCTTTTAAACTTAGTATTATATACCATGATTCTTTTTGAAGAGTCTAAGGCTACAATAAGGCCCGCTTACTGTAGTAGCTGCGACGACTATGTTAGTTGAACGCGAGTTGATCTGTTGTATGGGTGAAGATTAGATAACTACCTAGCTTTTGTCATTTCTATGGGTAAAGACATTGACGACAACGGTGTTAACGAGGTATTACACGACGACCATGCATAGATCCATAACCTATCAGATAAGTGGATTACAATAAGAATTTCACCACACAATTGCAGAACACAGTCATGTCAATTTTTGTGGTAAATTCTATTGTTATCTATCAATGACGACATCAACCTTGTACTGGATGGGATGGATAACGGTTAGTCAGGATAAAATTTATAGTGTAAAATTTATAATTTAAGTGTGAAAAAATGAGAGCTTGTTATTTTAATGGACAGTAACATTAACTGGATTAATGCATGTGAGAAGTGATAACATTATGTTGATATAAAAATGTAATTCTATTTTAAATTATTTCTTAAGTTATTAATATATCATGCGAACTAATTTTTCATGCATCATAATAAGAAATCGGGTAACAATTTTAATCAGTGAAAATTAATATACGCATTTAAATTTCATGTAAAAATTGTGATGGACATTCAATATTTGTCATAACGAATAAACATTAATTTATACTGGAGGTTTAATTAGTTATTCAATAAGAAGTTGCTATTTCAATTTATGAAAGTACTGTAGTCTGACTTATATGTTTCTTGCATTTAAGAATAAAGGTATATATTTGTAACTTATGCATACAACAACACTGGTGGCTATTTCATGTAGGAATAACAAACCGCTGAATCAAACGTGACACAAACTTCTTTTTATAACTGCTGTCTTGATATTTTTATTTCGCATCACTATAACTTAAATACGACGGAAATAGTTTACTGGTGATAAAAAGATTCACTGGTAGGTTCACGGGGAAGTGAAGACTGTTAGAAAAAAATGGCTCAATAATTGTTTATGAAAGATTCATATCAGTTATACAGTACAATGCAAAATTAAACTGGAGATGATAGAAGTCATCTTTAGGCAATTGGAATAATAATATTTTTAAAATAGAAGTTATGAAAATATACTTAAGATGTCGACCACAGGTTTAAAATGGCATTAACTTTAATGAGTTAATATTCACTTTGATTTTCAAAAATAATGGGACAAATTATATATATTTTAATATCTTTACAAATGTCCTCGTATGAATGCAACGTTTTTGACGTCATTTTTATTATTTTTCAAGACGGTATATATATGTACGAGTATATGTATTTTTCTTTAATTATTATTGTCTTGTTATTTACTAGCTTAAAATTACAAGAAATAGTGAATAAATTGTGGGATAAACATGAAGTTAAAAGTTAATATTGCACCACTGGTCTTTTGTTGGCTTAATTTTATTTACATTAACAAACATTATTAATGTCAGTCAGGTATAAACTACTGATAAGAATTTTAAACTTATATAGAGAGTAGAAATAATGTAAAGGGATCGAGCGCTATTATCAGGTGGAAACTAAGTTATAGAAGTCCTCGTGACTCATAACAATCCTGGCGATCAGGTAACTTGTTTTATCCCTTTAAAGTCAGTTCCTCTCTCCCTCCCTCTTTCCGATAGTTTACGATTTTTCCTTTTCAAAAATATTTATGTCTACATATGCATGTGTATACACAGTGCCAGATTTTTAAGAAATGAATATAAATACTAGGATAAGACCTATATCAACTTTCGGTTTTGATCCTTTTTCACAATTTTCATGTGTTGTAAAGTTCTATTTGTAAGTTGTGCCTGTTTGACATAAACTTTGTTCAAACTTATCACTTGAATTTCGCTACCAGCACGAAATTTATCAGGAATATATAAGGTTATTCCTGGTGAGGATATAACAGAATTTTTCAAGAGTATACATGTACATTTTGTAATTCTATATGGAAGAAAAAGGGTACACGAGGGATCTAGTCAAATTCCCGAAACACATGGTGACTTCGTCAATCGCAACTTTTCGTTCTTTCGTCGGATAATCGCCAAATCTATTATTTACTGTGAGCCTGATAAAATCAGTGATGTTCAAAACACACATTTGTTGTTCATTCAGTATATAGTTATGTATACATGGACCATACTATAATATACATGTATATTATGTACAAGGGTATGCATATTGTCAACAAGTTAAATACAATGTAAAAACTTAATAATGTGCCTATATCTTTAGCCCTATCCCTCATATATACGCGAAACAACGCACTCGACCCCCACCTCTTTAAGGCCTCAAATAGTGAAAAAATGTCCTGTTTGGGCCCCAAACACATGTTTTCGTTTGAGAAATGTTGTGAAAAAAGTGACCATTTTTTCGGCGCGGCCCCCAACCAAAGACACATCAGGGGGTTGCCAGAAGGGGGATGTGTCCCCTTCTGTTTGGGGGGGGGGGGTTAAGGGGGCGGTAGTCCCCCTCATCGTCAGAAAAAAAAAATGGACTTGTCAGATCATAAGGTAACGTGTAACCAATGCTGAAAAGTATTTGACTCTATCTCAATCCATTGAGAAGTTGCAGCAGTTTGAAATCAATTTTGATGGAAAAAAATCTACGCAAAATAGTGTTTTTTTTGCAATTTTGAGATGCCATGGTAACAGGAAATTTAAGCCTGAGCATGTTGTTACAAAGGCAATGGTCCAGTCAACATTTGCGCCGAGTTTGATTAGTATTGAAGCATTTTGTATAGTTTTATAGCGATTTGAACTTGTAACGGGAGACTTTCAATGAAAACAATCATTTTTCACAAAATATTCATGAGGTAATGGGTTAAAACTGATGATAATTTGAAATCATTGGTCATTGACAAGGCAAGACGTTTAAGAAGTCCATCACCATATTAGTTCTATTTATTAAACAAAGTATGCTCTTTTAGCTTAGTGTACATGGACTTTTGAATAATAGGTAGTATAAACCCTTTATTATATATGTTTTATGCTTTTCATAAATGTTCTTCTTGCAATTGCAGGACATCTTTTGGATTCTTTACACCGATAAGTACAATATAAGAAGGTAGACTACACCTTCTACTTCTGAGTAAGTTTATATTTAATGTTGGGTTCTTTAGTTGTTACCATAAGGACTTCTGAAATTACTCCATTGTAGTAAGTTAGTAGTAAGTCACAAGGGCCTACAGTCACAAAATTCGTGTTATATAACTAATTTATATGATTAAGCTTTATTTATTTTGAAACCACACATATGTTAAAACATACTTTGTTTATTCATTTCATTAAGGTCGACTGGATGTTTCCAGTTTATACTTGTGATAAAGTACTGAAGTAATTAGCAACAATAATTAAGGAGTTGTCCGTCGTTGTAAGGCGTGATGTACGTGATATTTAAGATTAATTACAAATAAATTTGCTTATTTGTATTGGTTAAATTTCATGGTAGAAATTAAATTGTTGAAACAACAGACCAAATCTTGAATTACATTTTGTACAGTTGTTATTGACTTGGCATACGAGTTGTATCTGGTCAAATAACGACATTATTGACGTCAGAACTGCGTACAATTTTAGCCAGTTGCTGATAACACTTATAAATACTTCTTAAGTGCCTTTAAATTCATCATATTTATTTCAGAACACTAATGGAAGGAGAGCGGGATATAGATGCTTCGGTCGCGCAGCACGACTCAATATGTTCGACAGATTCTGCACGTGAAACACATGCAGTGTCAGATAAGTGTGATAATAGTTCATTGCAGTACGTGGCGCCAGATGGTGGATGGGGTTGGGTTGTTTGCGCGGCATGTTTTATGTCGCACGTGCTCACTGATGGTATACAATATTCGTTCGGGGTAGTTTTTGTAGAACTTCTGGATTATTTCAAGGGTAGTAAGGGAGAAACAGCCATTATTGGATCTATATCAGCTGGCATCTGTTACCTATCAGGTATGTTTTTTGAAGATAGTGGAAATCTACATTAGTTTACCTATTTGGTTATTCTATTAAATAGACTTCCCTGCGTTTAATGGATAGTTTTATGTGGTCGATGATTTATCCTATATCAGGTTGTTTATTAGCTTTATATTTTTTCACTTAGTTTTATAATTTCATAAGTGAAATGATTCGCGCTACAACATTCTGTCAAATTGTCATTTTGGATAGCAGTGCACGTGATATGGTTAATTTTATAATGTTATGGTGTTAATTTTATTGCCGATGCTGACTGTTGGTAAATTTAATGCTTATATTTTGAACAAACTATAATAGGTATTAGATATTATAACTGTAAGGTATTTAGGTATTGTTGCAAGCTATTATTAATTTTTTCTTCAGGTCCAATAATTGCCATATTTACAAACAAGTTTGGTTGTCGTATTATTACAGCTGTTGGTACTGTGATATTCTCAGGCAGTCTGGTGTTGAGTATTTTTGCTCCAAATATTCTATTTCTGTACTTCAGTCTAGGAGCTATGTTTGGTAAATATGTTTGTCTTTTTTTCTAGTACTGACGTAAATGATGCTTTTCACGGATCAGTCTTTATAATCTGATAAACGTAAATAGATACATATCCTATGGAAGACTAAGTTTGGAATTATAAGTCTCAGGGATATATAGAATTACAAACGTTTATTTGTATATAGCTTTTAGTGCGAGCAAAAACAATTACATAGTGAGAAAATCTTAACAAGTCGTCCATAGTTCACCTTATATTCCGCCGACATGCATTAGTAAACAAATTTACAAATATTTTTCTAAACTACGTTTTTGAATTTCTTTATTAGACAATTAGAACGTTACGTAGATTTTTTTATTCCTATTAGGACAATTTCATACGCTACTATAAGAAAAAAAAATGCTAAATGAAACTATTAGTTTTTGCTCTATCCTTAGAAATATGATTTATGTTTTATATGCAAGAAAAAGAATCAAACACCGGCTGTCGTAACAGACCGGAATATCTAGCTCTCGGTTAACAAATTAAGCGGAAACCCGGTAGAGCCCCGTTAATATTACCGCAGTAATTAGTTACCCTCGAGCTAGATATATTCTGATCTGTACCGGTAGCCGGTGTAAAATATGCTTCAGTAACAAATGCTTTAATAATGATAACTTATAACGCTAACTTTGTTGAACTTGAATGTTTTATATTTTCCTTACATTATAGCATGAATGTATTATATTTTCCTTACATTTTAACATGAATATAATTATTATATTTTCCTTACATTATAACATGAATGTACATGTATTATATTTTCCTTACATAATAACATGAATGTATTAAATTTTCCTTACATTTTAACATGAATGCATTAAATTTTCCTTACATTTTAACATGAATGCATTATATTTTCCTTACATTAAAACATGAATGTAATATATTTTCCTTACATTATAACATGAATGTAATATATTTTCCTTACATTATAACATGAATGTATTAAATTTTCCTAACATTCTAACATGAATGTATTAATTATATATTTTCCTTATATAACATAAATGTATTATATTTTCCTTACATTATAACATGAATGTACATGTATTATATTTTTCTTACATTATAACATGAATGTAATATATTTTCCTTACATAATAACATGAATGCATTATATTTTCCTTACATTAAAACATGAATGTATTATATTTTCCTTGCATTATAACTTGAATGTATTATATTTTCCTTACAATAACATATGAATGTATTATATTTTCCTTACAATATAACATGAATGTAATATTTTTTCCTTACATTGTAACATGAATGCATTATATTTTCCTTACATTAAAACATGAATGTATTATATTTCCTTGCATTATAACTTGAATGTATTATATTTTCCTTACACTATAACATGAATGTATTATATTTTCCTTACATTATAACATGAATGTATTATATTTTCCTTACATTATAACATGAATGTATTATATTTTCCTTACATTATAACATGAATGTATTATATTTTCCTTACATTAAAACATGAATGTATTATATTTTCCTTACATTATAACATGAATGTATGATATTTTCCTTACAATATAACATGAATATTTTATATTTTCCTTACATTATAACATGAATTTATTATATATTTCTTACATTATGACATGAATATATTATATTTTTCTAACATAATAACATGAATATATTATTTAACATTATAACAGGTATCGGATATGGTATGATATACCTTCCATCCATTGTTTGTGTAAGTCAATACTTTGAAAGTAAACGAGCGCTGGCAACAGGAATTGGGGTTAGTGGAGCCGGAATTGGAACGTTTATATTCAGTCCTCTAACGAGTATTCTGATAAAAGCATACGCATGGCAGGGTGCCTTATTAATCCAGGCGGGACTGGCGTTAAACTGTTTTGCATGTGCAATAGTGTTCCGTCCTGTGACAACTGCTTCTGTTAAAGACACAAGCGATAGTGAAACTGATAATGCTGACGAACATCTCAAAGTTAACAGAATCAATGAACATAGTCCGTACAAATATGACTACGAAAAATATAGGGTGGACGAGGTATCAATCCCGACAGACCATACGATATGCTCAGAGTCAGTAAATGAAGAAAGTTTAAATGACAGTGTTCCTACAGTACCATCTAGATATGTATCTGCACCGCTTCTTAACGATACAATACATCCTGATCATGAAGAGTCAGTAAAGAAGAAAACATTTGGCGATATATTGCGTAATATATTAACTCATTTTGATGTTGAAATATTTCGCAATGTAGCATACTGCATGTTTTTGGTATCAACGTTTCTATATAGTCTAGGATACTATATTCCGTATATATACCTTCCAGACACAGCTAAAGAAGCCGGTAAACTATCTTAATTACACCTGCTAACAGTTTTGATTTTTTTTCAAGGAATTGTTCCAATGACTGGCTACTATTTGTTTGTTTTGACTTTCTTTTTGTATGTGCAAAATTATGCCTTCTGCGTCTTTTACAAGTAATGACTGTTTATAACATTATAATTCTCGTATATCCCATTGTTAGAATCGATATATATGGTCACACATATTATTTTACCGATACTAATCTATTTTTTGTACCGATACACGTTCATAATCTTACACATTGACAGTACCAATGTTTTACGTATTTTACAGGTATAGGTGATATCAAGGCATCATTTTTGGTGTCCTCAGTTGGTATAACAAACACATTTGGAAGAATTTTGTTTGGATTCCTGTCAGACCGGAAATGTGTGAACAGACTGGTATTATATGCCACTGCCCTGGTTATATGTGGGGCAGCAACATGTGTGGGACCTTTTTTAACCTCATTCCCTTTATTGCTTGTTTATACCATCTTATTTGGAACATTCAGTGGTAAATATCTTTTGGATTTAAATTTTACCATTTTGTATAGGCTATGGTGTAGGCAGATTAGTACTGTGTTGAAATAGATGTAGTAGTATGTTAGTACAGATATTTGAAGTCATTTCTTCCATAGCGTATACACTACATTATACGTTGTTTTTAAACTTGACAGATGGATAGATACAAGCATTACCTGTATAATTCGTTTTGTCTTTTCGTCGTGAGTTTTGGGGAAATATTTTGATTATGCATGACTTATAATGACACAATCAAATTCCTTATCAAACATATGTCACCTGTAGATGACATTGGAAAGTACAAAAGTAATTAAATATACATGTACTTTTAACACTTTTCTCATGAAGACATAATACCATTTTTTTCTGGTAAAAAGTACAATTTTGTGTTTAAAAAACCATTATTTAAATGTTACACTTATGACCTATTTTCTTATGCTTATAGCCATTTTCGTGGTTATTCTATAATACTTAAAACATTTTTCTGGTTAACAGTTAAAATACCATTGCTTATACTAGTAACCATTTTCTGGTTAAGAATTAAAATGTTATGTTTATGATTTCTTTTTCGAGTTACAGACAAAATGAAAAATGTTTTTGTATCATTCTTTATGGAAACAATTTAAATGTTTTACTTAATTATAACTATTTTTAAGTGTAACAATATGAAATATTTAAAAATAAAATGTTAATATGGTGAACACATTATTTTCAGGTGTAACAATATCTCTGACATCAGTTCTACTGACAGATATTGTTGGCATTGACAAATTAGCACATGGTTTAGGAGGATCAAACTTTTTCGGGGGAATCGGCTCTTTTGCAGGACCACCGATTGCAGGTACTGGTTAAATATATGTGTCAAGTTAAAGGCTTTATTGAGGTCGCTTATTTTATTTATATTAGTCAATAAATGTTTATTATATAAACCAAACTTAGTGATTCTTCCCAAAGTTTAGGTCATATTATTGAATAAGTATTGACTAGTATTGTAGGAACCTATTCCTGGTGAAAAGGTAAAATGGTTTTGGGGAAGAGAGCTTAGATGTTTTGTGAATAGCATCATCGAATGAAACTCTTCAAAAAATGTGTTCAAATTATTACCCTAGGGTCAAAATTGGCCCCGCGCCAGGGGTTATATAGTAAGTTCTCCTTGTAAACTTTAAGGGCTATATCTTAGTATTTTGCATAAAATGTTATCTTGTGGACCTGTACAAAAATGTTTTAATGATAACCCTTGTGGCAAAATTGGCCCTCTTCGGGGCCATGTGTTTCCCTTTAATGTTTTTAGCAGAAACTTAAAAAATACTTCGTTAAAACTATTATAAGGCCAAAGCTTAGATATTTGGCATGAAACTTTTTCTTGGTAGACCTCTACCATGATTGTTGAAATTAAAACCCGTGATGTAAATAAGCGCCACCCCGCGGATCATGAATTTTCCTTTCATGTATTATGATAGTTGTAATTAAACTTATTCTTTTCTATGACCATGAAAGTTGAAGCTTACATAGTTAGCATGAAACATTGTCTAGTGTTTCTCTACCAAATGTGTTGATATTGTAGACCTGGGCCTCTAAATTGGTTTCATCCCGGGGTGGGGTTTATGGATTTTTCTTGAGGGTGTATACAGTAACAATTGAAAAACAACAACTTAAAACAATTCTTCTCTTAAAACCATTCAGACTTAAGCTTAGATATTTGGCATGAAAAATTGTCTCGTGGATCTTTACAAAGATTGTTCAAATTATAGCATTAGGGGGGTGATTAATTTTCTTTACATGTATAAAATAAAAACTTAAAAAAAAATCTTTGTCTCATAAGCCATGATGACTTAATGTTATATACGCCTGGCATGAAACATTGTCTTGTGGACCTCTTCCAAGTTTGATAAAATGACAGTTTTGCGGTGTCATTTGGCCCAACCCGGCATGGGGTCAAGGATTCCCTTATTTGTATATAGTTAAGACTTAAAAAGTATTTCTTCGGCTATAAAGCTTAGATATTCAGCATGAAACATTGTCTAGTGGACCTATACCAAGTTTGTTCAAATCATAGCCCTAGAGTCTAAATTGGCCGCACATTTGTAGGTCATGGATTTTTCTAACTTGTATGTAGTTAGTACTTAAATCCTGTGAACTATTTTATTGTTTTTAAAGCTACAGCTACTTGGACTAGATGCACATTTATAGTGCAAAAATGAACGTTGACCTAGATTTTGACCAAATGGCCTACTCTTTCGTAAACAGAGCTAAAGCTATGAAATTTGGACTTTAGCACAACCCAGCTTTCAGGTGCAGACTGTGAACTTTGACCTCGATTTTAATTTTGTCCCAGTGACTTACTTTTAGTAAACAAAGCTAATGCTATGAATTTTTGACTGTATGCACAGATTCAGATGCATAATTGAAATTTAAATAGATTTTGACCCAGTGACCGACCTACTTTTAGTATTGAGAGCTACAGCATTGAAATATGAACTACTACCACAGATTCAAGTGCGGATTTGAACTTTGATATCGGTTGACCTAGAATTTGATCCACCGACGTTCTGTTTGTAGTTAGAGCTTCGTGTACAAAATTTTTACTTCATGCACATGCAGTGCCAGATGCAGATTTGAACTTTGAAATCAGTTAACATAGATTTCGACATAATGCCTTTCTTTCATCCATAGTTAGCAATATCATCAGTCCTCTATTTTTTAGCCTTTATGTTCAGGCCAGCATCGCCCTCGTGTTGTTATTTGTTTGGGGTTTTATTTTGTATTTTTCCTAATAGCAAATTTTGAATTTAATACTTATCTCCATATTTGATTTGTCAATTGTAATATACTGTCAGATCCTAATTATTTTACAATTTGTTCTACTTATTTTCAGGTTGGTTATATGATGTATCCGGAAACTACCTCATGTCCTATATAGCGGCTGGTATCGCCATATTTCTCAGCGGTGCCATGCTGTACTTCGTGCCTTGCATAGAAAATAAGATAAAATCAAAAAAGTCACGAGTATAACGTGCATACGTTTTTATCTTTGCAGTTCCTTTACAAATATGCAGGTTAAACAATAAAACATTTTAAGATTATGCTTTGCAGCTTGAATAGTTCAGTTGTTTCTACTCAAACTATTTTGGACTACTCATTGTAATCGCATGCTGTACTTATGCTTTTTATCCTCTTCTATTATGGTATGCAAATTTTAAGCGACGTTCCAGGATTTTTCTATCAGAGGAGTCTCAAAGCTTCGACAGGGGGTATTGTATATACCAGAGGGGTTGCGGCATCTAAGTAGTTTTCAAGAATGGGCCACGAATCGAATTTTCGCGTGATTTACCTTAGGTTTTGTTTGATTTTCACTAAGAAACGTATTTGATAAAAGAATCTCAGAACACTTTTATTAGCGTCGTCCCTTACAGGGCTCCCTATAAAAATATTAGATACGTTGTATACTTTATACGATTTCAAAGGTATTATCAGTTTCAAAGCTAGTTACAGAATAACGTTTCGAGTTTCTCATAGCACAATTTTTACAATTTATTTGCTAGAATTTTTATTGTACATGTATTAGTTATTTACATGAAGGCTCTATCAACCCACTGGTATGACTATATATATTTCCCTTATAAATTTCAATAAAAGTTAAACAGACTTCTTTCAAGAAATGATAGATTTTACTGGTCTCCAAGTTCACTATAATTTACCAACCCAATGATAAAATGTAGAATTTTTGTAGATTGATTTATTTTTCATATTGATGTAGAAGTATGAGTATAATCACAACATAATATGTATAACTATGGTAATGCCAAGTTTATGTGTATAATGAACATGGCTATCTTCTCATCGTCCTGTCTGAAATATAACAATATACATGAACATTTTATATTCATTACTATATTTATGAATGTAATCGAACTGTCTTGTTTATACTTTCACTAGTTTATGTCTACCGATTGTTGTAATTAAACCTAATACAAAAGATCTATTAATTCTTCAGAAATTCCAGTTTTAGAAATTTTTGCAGAAAGGAATCTAGCTAGAGACGAATTGTATATTTTACAAATCTTTATTTTGTTTATGTATTTATTGGCCGATCTGTTACAATTTTTGAATAATATTTTCCTGGTTTACGACAGAATTGAATATTTTGTCATACGGAATAAGACCCGGAAAAGCTGTCGATAATGTCATAGAAAAGACAGAGAGCAATTTTACATTTTAATTCAAATGAAAGCCTTTCTCACATTTTTAATAGATTCTAAATGCTATATAACAAATTTAGTATACCATTTATCGACCGAATGTTCCAGTTCCGGTGTAGTTATTGACGACAGAGGTACTACCAATGTTTGTGAAGAGTATGAGAATGAGGAATAGAAAACCTATCATCATCACTGAAACAATTATACATAAATTAACATTGATATTCCAATCACACTCAAGTTGTATTTCTAATGTGTATTTAATTAAGGAAAAGACTGACAAATTAAAAATCCGCGAACTGTGATATCTACATGCATTTATCATATTCTGCAAAATTTTTTTTAATTTATCTTTATTTTAAATAAACGTTTCTAAGATCTAAAAATAGTTGATTTATCATTTAATTTTTATGTACATAATTGAACAAGAATCAAATCAAGAAAACATACGAAATGTGCCGTCTCCACCAAGGCCTCCGGCGCTCTGACCGTACCCATATGCTGGCACGTACTGGTAGCCACCGTATCCCATACTGAGGGCAACCCCAACGGTGCCGAGTAGGGCAAGAATGGCAAGAGCTGTGACTTTCATATTGCTGGAAAATAGAATTTTTGGTGTGAGTAGTTTTACGGGAGCTATGTATTAGTCACTATAGTTCATACGAAATGCTATCACAACTTCATGTGCAGGGTAAGAAAATAAAATATGGCGGCATATTGCCTACAAGGCAATAATTGTGTTACAAATCTCTCAAAAACATGGATTAAAAATGTTTTGAATGGATTCCCGTTCATAACAGTATTGTCCATAACCGTATTGGAGGCCAAAGAGAGAAGGTTATGTGTGCATTAAAGGCCCATTTTGCTCCAGAAGTACTTTTATTCTTTATGTCTCTAAAGCTTTTTATTTTTGGTTGTAGTTTCTTAAAAGTTGCTATTTGGCCAATTACCTGACCCATCTTTGTTATTTGGCAATTAGTGCAGTTGTAGTGATTAAGTATTTTGTATGAAAGTAATAATACTTCTTTGTTTTTCATTTTGCTAAGTTCACATTCATCGTTATTTTCTCTCAACCCATTATATATTTTGAAGGATCTGTGATTATTAAAAGCATATAATATCGAGGGTGTATGTGTCTGGTTTGGAAATGTATTCTTTTAATGTTTTCTTCCGGATCGAAATAAATATCGTATTTTTTATTATATGACGCAATTAATATTTGATTATTTGTTAATAAATTTGAATACTATAATTGTTTACAAATAACAACAACAAAAAATCTTTAGAAAATTATAGATTAAAATTAAGTCTATACAAAACTTCACTTCTTCAAAAATACTTAGAATAAAATTATATCTAAAGAAATACATTTAAAAAATAAGCAATATATAAAATATTTAATAAATGAAATAATTAAATTAAAAAAATTGATAATACAAAGATAAAATATGTACCTTTCTTGGTGACTTGTCCAAAGTGATAAGCGGTTTTTCGTCAGTGTTGGCGTATTTTAAATGTGTCAAATGGACTTCCGGGTAACTTAGCAAGATTATGTTAACTTTGATAAAATAATATAACCCACCACGTGTGTCAATTTAACCTTAACTACCGTCATAATATTTAACTGATATGCCCTGTCTGCTTAATAATATTAAAAAAAACTTTATTTTGTGAAGGAAACGCATTAAGATATCAAAATCTCTTATAAAAGATTGAAATCTAATTTTACAAAGTTGCCTTCAATGAACATTATACGAATAGTTTCAACTTGTCTTAAAGTAACGCATTAAGATATCAAAATCTTTTATAAAAGATTGAAATCTAATTTTACAAAGTTGCCTTCAATGAACATTATATGAATATAGTTTCAACTTGTATAACAAAATTTTCTTAAGGTAACGCAATAAGATATCAAAATCTTTTATAAAAGATTAAAATCTAATTTTACAAAGTTGCTTTGAATGAACATAATATGAATAGTTTCAACTTGTTTAACAAAATTTTTTTATCCTAAATCAAAGGCTTTAGACAGAATCAATAAGAATCTTGCAATAAAATTTTACTTTTGTTAAATATTATAAAATGTATTTCATTAGATACTACACCCATATCTACATCCATAGCCACATATAAGGGATGTTTTTTTTACAACCAGATAGATGTGCGTTTGGTCTGGTTTGACAAGTGTCGTTCAAAGATTTTAGATACTATTTGTAAAATAAAGATACGGCGATAATTATTCATATGTTGTTTGTTTGATGATAAGTGAATTGGAGGAAATTGTGTATTTCAATAACTCAGAAATTCCCCTCTTGAATTTCAATAACTCAGAAATTCCCCTCTGATATTACTAATTGAACAATTGAAGTTATTGGTAAAATAATATGTTCACCACAATATTTTTAAGATATATACATAAAGGGTACAGAAATACAGAATGCCTAAAGAACGCCCAAAACGGTAAAAATGAATATCTTACGCACACCTAGCACCTACCTAAGAATAACTTAACATTTCGATATGTAAATGGTGAAATTTTAAATTTAGAAACACCCCGAATATGTGTTCTTACACATACGGTGGTTATCATGGAACCTTCAATTTGACACTTCCATGCCATTTCATAAAGATTGGCTTCTAGTTTTCAAGTAAAAGAATATGTTTGCCTACGCCATCAAAGAAGTTTGGGTATTTTCTTTATATTTGTTGAGCAAATAATTTCAAAGAAATGCCTTGAGTCGATAGACAAAACTCAGAATCATGATTTAATCAGTATAAAAACCGTGTGAATTTCTTCTCGACTGTCTGGTATAGTGTTATTTATATAGATAATGAAGTTTTACAATAACATTTGTTTTTGTTCATAAAAGTTATATCACAGCTTACATCACCATACTTAGTAAAACTAATACAGATGACACCATTTGTCAACATCTATATGTTACTACATAATTCACATGTTTACACACTCTTTCCAAATTGAATATAATTCATGGGAGGTGACTAATTTAAGGCTGTATAAAGCTAACATGTCGCTGACAAAAAATCTATTTTTGAAAATCGAATATTTCAAAAACCTTATACTGAATGAAATATGTAGAGATAATTGCATTACAAAGAATCTCGCGTTCAATATAATCCATTGCTAAATGCATGGTTAACAACCCTAATAAAGACACCTGTAAGCAAAATGCTTGTTGTTCCGTGCTTTTTATTCTGCTTTCGCAAACAATCCTTCATGTGTGTACAATAGCGAGACATTTCCTATGTTACATTTTCAAGAATGACCATAAATCTATTGACGCCCAACTCAATCACTATTTTTCACTCTCGTTGTCTAAATATTATAAAACTGTATTTCATCAAGCTATTGCTTATACGCTTTCAATGCATTTAAACAAACGCAAAGTATTTAGACTTATTAGTTTTGGTACTGTAGAGACATAATTGGGATAATAATGTAACCAGCCATACTTTTTCCAGACATGTTACATTTTGCCAGCAAAATTGTTCTCCATAACAATATACGAATAGAAAAAAAGATAACGAATTGTTCAGCCTATCACTATCTGGGTTAATTGTTCACGGCTTTGGTATCCATGCTTCATGCATTATATATGGAAATGTTCACGTAAGTCAATTTAACTTTGAGGTACGTTTATTGTTAAATATAGATAATACAAACAAAACACGTGCTGTCATTTACCGCAATAGTTGCCGTACTCTTAACCCGAATTAAATCATTTACTGGTCGTTTCACGCGGAAATTAGCATGTGACGGTTAGGCGGAAGTCCTGGAGGGTTAACTGTTTGCTTGTCTACTTGGAAGAATTGATAGGTCGTCTTTATATAAAGAAACCACAACTGTTCTATCACACTATTCATTTGAAGTCGTCAATATACAAGGTGAGGTTACATTCGATATCGTTTAACCGAGAAGAAATCAACATTGTAGATTTTTTAAAAAAATTTTTACGTAGCTCAAGGTAATGATAGTGTTTTTTACTGATGATTTTCTTAAATTGAAACGAATACATTGAATTTTATTTTCCATATATACTAACGAGTCTTACTTCGTCCTTGATATGAAAGCATAATTTACAATGCAACTGTGTAAATGCGTCGATATGCATTTTAAATTTCGTTGAGTTTTACATCAATGATCCGTACCTGCGAATTGCGGACATATGATTGATTGTAACGAGTAAGGAGCCAGTTGACATCAGCTTGGTATGGTCATACATGAGACCGCTTAACTGTTAAGGCGCTCAATTTAAATGAATGAAAATTGGAACTTTTGACACAACAAGCATCGAAAGTGTGTTTCGTCAGTACATTCCTTGAGAAAAATAGCTGCATAACTTTATTATTTCTCTTAGCATCGATGAACAAATCTCAGCGTTTGGCCTTTCTTCGCCTTGCTCGCAGTTATCTGGCTGTTGGCCTCTGTTGCGGTACCGGATAGCACGCGCGGTTATTCTGGCGGGTACACCTAGCAGTGCCACGTTATCTGGTTACGGTCAGCTAAGGACAGCGCGGCGTCGTCCTCGATGAATGTTCTTTCGTGTCAAGTTAAACCGTAATTGCCCGAAATTTAGTTATAAGTTATTTCAATGACATCCAATCGCTTATTTGAACAAAACATGAAGATTACTAGATGCCTTTGTTAGTGTGCTTACAGCTTGTTAGTCAGCCTGACTTTAGCTTTAAAGCTTAGCATACACTTTTTAATTTAATTTGCATGCACCCCTCTAATTATCGCTCATCTGTAATTGTTCACTGAAGAACATTTATTAACGGGTAATTCATTCAACATTTCTCAATTTTTATTTCAGTGATGCTGCTGGATTCGGCATCTTGTTCTTCCTGATCTTGATCATTGTCAATCAGCAACCTGTTCAAACACCACCTCAACACTACTACCACACCCATGCACCCTTCCAGTCACAGGGTTTAACAATATGGTAAATCTTTACTGTAAATAAATATCATGAATAATCCTTATAACAACTTCTTGTGTTTTCATTAAGAGAGACTACGTAAAGTAGATTTTATAGTCCGCATTAATGCAAACTGTTAATTGTGTTTTCTAGTAAAACTCATTACTAACGTGTTAATATAAACTTAAATAACTTTTACTTGACTTGTTTCATAAAAGTTCTCTTAATTTGGAACAATGCAGCGACAAAATTTATATTGCAGTAATCATATCAGAGCAAAGTTTGTGAAGAAATACACAATGCATTTTGTTATCGTCTAATAGACTTTCATTATAATTTAATACAAGAAAACTTATTACACTGTATTATGTATATATTAAATTATTATTATTATATTGATGCTTCTGGTCTCTGAAACTTTTAAACATGCGACATTTGAAATCCAGCTAACCACAACAAAGATTTTAGTATTAATTTTAGAATTTCTCTACAATCTAATTACCAGGATTGATTTATGTTTTATGCATTCTTCCATGATTTAAGTAAAAGACAGCAGCTTAAGCCGACATCTATTATTTTCTCCACACCCTTTCTATTGGAGAGTATTCCACTTGTGAATGTGATTGGTCAATTTATAATTACTCTTCTGTGATATCTAAGTTTATTTATCATTAATGGTTTCATTGATGCCGTTTTATTCCAAAACACTGCAATAAATCTTTAAAAGAAAAATAATATATATCGTTTGTTATGAAATATGTATAATTTTTACTTCATGGTTCACGTAGATTATACATGTAAGCACATCAGATATTATAGACGATGAGGAACATTCAACAACCAGCGATTTTTTTTTCATTACTGGCGACTGTAGCATTTATTCCGTACATGAAGTTATCTATTAAACTGTGAACTTCAGAGCCAAGAACAGTTGATGGAAAGAGACCAACATTGTAGGTTTTTGTAACATCCGTGGGTACTTCGCATTAATCCTTACTCTTTGATAAGTGCATGAATTCTATCAAATTTAATTTCATTTGACATAAATGATCCATTTTCTATAAAGAAACAATTTACATTAAACTTCAATTTTACTTAAAAGAAAAAGTTTACAGTTGGATAACAAGTTGAATTATTAACACTTTTGGTAATATCTTTTAGTAAGTTGTGTACATTCCACTCCAAAACTACTCGTAAGAATGCAGGAAATGCTCTCCTAGCGAACTTATTAGGTGCTAAGGCTACTGATATGCTTAACATGAGAAATGTCTTATTTAAAGCGACTGAAAGATATGATACATACATGTTCCCGTTAGTTATAAATCTTGAAAAAATATCAGTCCAAAAATAATTTTTTATTTTATGAATCATACATTATGTAGTAGTGATGAAATGAAATGTTGTTATTTGAAAGTACAGCGCGGAGGGGATTGTGTGTTTTTACAAAAGATAAAAGTATCCTTTGTGTACGGTGGCACAAAGGTGACATGTGTGTGTGTTTTTATTTGACACGTGGTCACGAGTTACTATGTCGTGGCGACGAGTTACTAAGTCGTGGCCACGAGATAGCTAAGTCGTGGCCACGAAATACTATGTCGTGGCCACAAGTTACTTAAGTCGTGGGCCCACGAATTAGCTGAAATCGTAGCCACGAGATACTATGTCGTGGCCACGAGTTACTAAGTTTTGTGGGTCAAGAGATAGCTAAGGTTGAAGGCCACGAGATTAACTCATTGATGGTGTGCACAGTTAACTAAGTCGTGGCCACGAGATTAGCCAAGTCGTGGCCATCTGAGATAATTAAGCAATCATGAATACTAGCTATAATGAATTTTTAACTTAACAAACTTACTTTTACATGCAACATTAATCTTTGAAAATACTGCAGAGCTATTCACTTTGATTGAACTTGTCTTAGGATCATTATTAGACAGTCACCGTTCCAATGCCCATCATTACAGTTAATTTTGACTAATAGCTCTTTGTTGGGACACTTTTGTGATCGAATTGGTCAGTTTGTACGTACTGATCGGCCGTGTTAATCTTGTTTATAAGCGATAACATGGAGAATGGAATCGGTCCTGTTATATATTATTTGTAGGGGACCATTGCCCCATGGGACAGTAGATAAGCCTTATAAGGTAAATCTTGTCTGATGAATAATTTTAAAAGGGACAAGCCATGGTTTGTTATAAACCAAGGAAAGATCATTGCACCAGATCAGTAGATTGCGAGGTCATTGGGTCAAAAAATAGGGTCACAGGGTTCACATGTGACGCTAAATGTAAATTTATTGACAAGGTCAATTAAGGTTGCATAAATGACATCTTGTTACAGGCTGGGTGAAGTAGGGACATCCTTGTACTATAGCACATGTCTAGTTAATTAGGGAAATTCACATAAATGGTGTAATCTGATTAGTTATTTATCTCGTGGCCACGACTTAGCTATCTCGTGGCCACGACTAAGTAACTCGTGGCCACGACATAGTATCTTGTGGCCACGCCTTAGCCTATTTGTGGCCACGGACTTAGCTATCTTCCGTGGCCACGACATAGTTATTCCGTGGGCCCACGACATAGTCATCTCGTGACCACGACTTAGCTATCTCGTGGCCACGACTTAGTAACTCGAAGCCACGACATAGTAACTCGTGTCCACGACATAGTATCTCGTGGCCACGACTTAGCTATCTCGAAGCCACGACAAAGTAACTCGTGTCCACGACATAGTATGTCGTGGCCACGACTTAGCTATCTCGTGGCCACGACTTAGTAACTCGTGGCCACGACATAGTATCTCGTGGCCACGACTTAGCTATCTCGTGGCCACGACTTAGCTATCTCGTGGCCACGACATAGTATCTCGTGGCAACGATTTAGCTATCTCGTGGCCACGACTTGGCCGCGACATAGTATTCGTGGCCAAGAGATAAATAAAAACACACACATGTCACCTTTGTGCCACTGTATTTGTGAGCTATATGTACGTGTTTACATAAATCAATCATTATCTGGTCTGTACTTCTTGTAAAATGATAAGAAACTGTTTATGATTTAATCCCCGTATTTTACTAAACGCACTTTTTCGAAATGTTTTCACCGCTCTCTCATTCTTTCCCTTAAAATATCTTGCTCAAACTTTGTTCGTTACCTCACGCAAAGATCTTGTCCGGACTTTGTTTCCATCCCCATCCAAAGGCCTTTGCTTTAACTTCACCCAAAGACCCTGCTTTAATTCACCCAAAACATTGCTTTTACTTCACCCAAAGACCTTGCTTATACTTCACTATAAGATCTTGCCTTTACTCTATTAACGTCACTGTAAGACCTTGCTGGTACATCACCAGACTCTGTTCCTATTATATTTAGGATTATGTTCCTCAACTGTAATCCAAATACATGTTTCTGGTGTAAAGTTTTGTATTTTTGTATTTCAGCTGAACATCAGATATAAGCTTCTTGTTTTTGGATTATTATGTTACTGCTCGGTCAAAAATCTTTTCTGGATTTTGTATTTCAACCTCCCTATCAAAGATCTTAATTCGAAATATACCAGTTTTTACCTCTAACTGAGATATCTTATTCCTGATTTGAATCCTATATTCAGAAGTGATTAATAAATCAGTTTCGGTTTGTATTTGGTTAATAGCCCCTTTTGTACTGAATAAAATGTATAGGACCGTCTAATGGCAACAAATAGATCGTGGGGATATATACACGGGTGTGCTACATGTGTGCTATACATGTGCTACAAAAAAAATCTGATTTTGAAAATTGAATACTTCCAAAATGCTTGTATGAATGAAATATGGTAGAATATTGCATTAAAAACGAATATCGCGTGTAATAAATCATTGCTAAATGCATGGTTAAAACCCTAATAAAGACACCGGTAGCAAAATATTTTGTTCCGTGGCATTTTATTCTGTTTACGAAACAATATTCATGTGTGTAAAATAACAGAGACATTCTATGTTACAACTCTTTCAAGAATCGACCATAAGATTATTGACCCAATATAATTTTACTGTTGTTAAATATTATAAAATGTATTTAATAAGATACTGCTTTATACCCTTTAATGATTTAAACAAAGCAAAGTATTAAGATTACTTAGTTTGGTACTTAGAGGAATAATTGGATAATAATTAAAGACATAATTTTTCAACATGTTAATTTTGCAACAAAAATTGTATCTCCAAAAAAAAGATAAGATCGATCAGCATGCCGTTTTTATCTATCACTATCTGGGTTATTGTTCACCTTTTGTATCATTAGGATTGTTCAGGTAGTAATTTATTTTTGAGGTAGTTATGTTAAATGATAGAGATACAACAAAAATGGCAGTCATTTACCGCACATTGCCTAATATCTTAACCGAATTAAAACATTTACGGACATTCACGGAAATTAGCGATTTGTGACGGTTAAGGCGGAAGTCTGGACTGTTGCTTGTCTACTTAGAAGAATTGATAGGTCGGTCGTCTATTATAAAAGGAAAAACAAACTTCATATCATCACTATTTCATTTGAAGTCGTCAATATACAAGGTAGGTTAACATTCAAATCGTTTTAACCAGAAGAAAATAATATATGTAAACATTTTGTTTACGTAGCCAAGGTACTGAAAGTGTTTATTAACTGATGATTTCTAAACATTGAATTTTATTTGATATATTACTAAGAGTCTTACTTCATTAATATGAAAGAAAATTAGCAATGCGTAAATACGCAATATCATTTTATTTCGTCGAGTTTTAATCATATCCGTACATTGGGCACAAAAAATTTTGATATTTAAAGTAAAGGACCAGTACATCAGGTTTGGATGTCATGAAAAACATCAGACAACTTTAAATGTTAAGCGGTCAATTTTAAATGAATGAAAATTGAACTTTTGAACACAACACGAAATGTAATATAGTATTCTTGAAAACAAATAGATTCATAATTTAATTATTTCTCTTCAGCATCATGAAAATCTCAGCTCTTGCCTTTTTCGCCCTTGTCGGAGTTATCGGTGTTGCCCTCGGTGCCGGGTACGGATACGGCGGTTATTCTGGCGGGTACACCTACATGCCAGTATCTGGTTACGGTCAGCAAGGGGCCGGCGGATTAGGAGATGGTTCTTTCTGTAAGTAACTTCAATTGACCAAATTTTAGTCTAAAGTTATTTCAATAATGCAATCGCTAATTTGAACAAAACATGAAATTAAATGTTTGTTAGTGTGCTTAAACTTGTTTGTCAGCTGATTTAGCTTTAAAGTTAAAATATTTTAATTTTCAATTTTGTTACACCCTTAATTATCTTATTTTTAATATTGCTCACTCAAGACATTTATTAGGGTATTTATTCAATATTTTCAAAATAGGTAAATTTATTACATGTATTTTCAAATAATTATAATTCAGTGATGCTGATCGGATTCTTGTTCCTGATCTTGATCTTGTTCAACAGCAACCTGTTTAACACCACCTCATCAGCTACGACCACACCCATCACCATCCTCCAGGGTTAAAAATGGTAAGTCTTTACTTAAATATATAAATATCTTAAAACAACTTCTTTGTAGTTATTAATGCTAACAGTGTTAATTTATATTTCTAGTAAATCATTAACAACGTGTTAATATGAACATTAAATAATTTACTTGAATTGCTATAAATGTTCTCTTAATTGAACAATGCATCAAAATTAAAATTGCAGTAATAAAGAGAGTATCAATTTGTTGAAAAATACACAATGTATTTGCTTATCTCTAACACTTTCATTATTATTTAAACAAGAAAAACTTTTATGTAAATATTGATGCTTGTGTCTCTCGAAACTTTAAACAGCGCCATTTTGAGTATGATTACAAAACAAAGATTTTATATTATTATGAGATTTCTTCCAATTATTACCAGTGATTGATTTATTTTTATGCATTCTTTCAGATTTAGTAAAAGACCAGCAGCACTTTACGCCGAACATCTATATTTCCACGACCCTTTCTATGGAGATATTCCAGCTGTGATGTGATTGGTCAATTTATAATACTTTCTGTGATATCTAAGTTATTTATCATTAATGTTATATTGATGCGTTTTATGCCAAAACACTGCAATAAAATCTTAAAAGAAAATAATGTATATATCGTTTGTTATGAAATATGTATTATTTACTTCATGGTTCACGTATATACATGTAACACATCACATAAAACAATAGACGATGAGGAACATTCAACAAACTTACGATTTTTTTTTCATTACTGGCGACTGTAGCATTATTCCGTACATAATGTCATTTTTTGCTGCATCTATTAAAGTTGTGACTTCAGAGCCAAGAACAGTTGATGGAAAGAGACACTTGTAGGTTTTGTACATCCGTGGGTACCTTACTTCTTTGATAGATGCATGGATTCCTATCAATTAACTTATTTGACAATAAATGTATCCATTTTCTATAAAGAAACAAGTTAACATTATACAGTAAACTTTAACTTTTAACTTAATAGAAAAAGTTTATATTATACAAGTTGAATTATTAACAATTTTGGTATATCTTTAGTAGTTGTGTACATTCCTACCAAAACTACTCTAGAATGCAGGAAATCTCTCGATCCTAGCAGAATTATCTAGGTGGCTAAGGCACTGAATGCTTTAACATGAGAAATGTCTTATTTAAAGCGACTGAAAGATATGATACATACATGTTCCCGTTAGTTATAAATCTTGAAAGAATATCAATCCAAAAAATAAATTGTTATCTTATGAATCATACATTATGGAGTAATGATGAAATGAAATGTTGTTATTTGAAAATACAGCGCGGAGGGGATTGTGTGTGTATTTTTTACAAAAGTTAAATGTATCCTTTGTGAGCTATATGTACGTGTTTACATCAATCAATCATTATCTGGTCTGTACTTCTTGTAAAACGATTAGAAACTGTTTGGGATTTAATCCCCGTATTTTACTAAAAGCACTTTTTTCGAAATGTATTCACCACTCTCTCATTCTTTCCTTTTAAAATATGCTCAAACTTTGTTCCTTACCTCACGCAAAGATCTTGTCCGGACTTTGTTTCCATCCCCACCCAAAGACCTTGCTTTTACTTCACCCTTGGACCCTGCCTTTACTTCACACAAAGACATTGCTTTAACTTCACCCAAAGACCTTGTTTTTACTTCACCCTGATATCTTGCTTTTACTTCACCCAAAGACCTTGCTTTAACTTCACCCAAAGACCTTGCTTTTACTCTATTAACGTCACTGAAAGACCTTGCTTTTACTTCACCCTAAGATCTTGCTTTTACTTCACCCAAAGACCTTGCTTTTACTCTATTAACGTCACCCAAAGACCTTGCTTTTACTTCACCCTAGGATCTTGCTTTTACCTCACCCAAAGACCTTGCTTTAACTTCACCCAAAGACCTTGCTTTTACTTCACCCTGAGATCTTGCTTTTACTTCACCCAAAGACCTTGCTTTTACTTCACCCAAAGACCTTGCTTTTACTCTATTAACGTCACTGAAAGACCTTGCTGGTACACTGTTCCTAACATCACCAGACTCTGTTCCTATCATATTTAGGATTATGTTCCTCAACTGTAAGCCAAATACATGTTTCTGGTGTAAAGTTTTGTATTTTTTTTTATTTCAGCTGAACATCAGATATGAGCTTCTTGTTTTTTGGAGAATTATGTTACAGCTCGGTCAAAAATCGTTTCTGGATTTGTATTTCAACCACCCTATCAAAGATCTTAATTCGAAATATACCAGTTTTTACCTCTAACTGAAATATCTAATTCCTGATTTGAATCCCATATTCAGAAGTGTTTAATAAATCAGTTTCGGTTTATTTGGTTAATAGCCTCTACAGTACTGAATAAAATGTAAAGGACCGTCTAATGGCAACGGGCCCGGACTTTGACTTCCCCGTATTATTTATACGAAACAAAAAGAATGAATTGATAATGGTATACTTCAGTTTTTGACGACATTTTGTACTACGGAAGCAAATACGGAACATAAATCTTACATTTGGTTTATTATTTTTGTTTCTCTATTTTGATTTATTTTTCGCGTTTAATAAAGTTTTATTATTGTATGAACACAAGTTAAATTCAAGATGACTGTTTAGAAATTTCTATGTGTCATTGCCAAATATAATTATGGCAAGATCATACTGCTAGCTTTTGAAATTTGTTGTAAATTGCGACATAATAAAATTAACAAACTCATAGTCATCAAACTTTGTCTTATTTTGAATCATGGCCGTTTTTTTTTAAAAATTAAGTCAACAATCATTTACACTTTAATAAAATAGCAATGTAATAATGTCATTTGATATTTTTACTGTTATCTTATTGGGTGATGTTTAATTCATACTTATTAATATATGTTGATCAATATTTACAAAATGTAATATCGCTAATCTATTTGATCTCCATCAAAAACAGTGATCTTTTGTTCCAGGTGGACACCAAGTTCCTGAGTCAATCAATGACAACGAATTTTCTGTCCGTATTCGAGTTGGAGAAAAGGGATATTAAGGGATATGTGCTGCTTGGAAAAACATTTGCTTGAAGTAGAAATAAATCCAAATATCCATGTTCATGTTTTACGTCGCAAATATTTTTGGGACAAAACATTTATAGCAGAAGAAAGATCTATAACTCCCAAATTTCATATCTTGATGGTTATTTTGTGGAACTTTTGCTTGATAAAGTATATTGAATAAAAAAAGATTCCTTTGATACTATCTTGTTTTCTAGGTTGGAATTTAAAAGCACTATCATGAAAAAATATACTGTAGTGATCAGTGGGCAGATAATGTTAAAATTCGTCTGCCTTGTGTTTTGACTTACCTTCATTATTCCAATATACAATTGCTATCAGTGTTGTAACGTTAATTTAGGGACGGACAGGAAAACTTGAAAAGGCATCATGAGGGCATATCAGATTGAAATACATTCAGAAATCCTGGTTAACCAGAAAAGAAAGGGAACAGAGAGATGCTTTTGAAAGGTCTTTTCATTTACTTACAATTAGTGACTTAGTGTCCAAAATATCAAAAAGTCATCTTCATGTTGCGACAAGGCCAAACATATGAAGAATACTTTGGTTATAATGTGGTAACAAGCATTAATGATGGTCATTGGTGTCTGGTTTATGCATCCATTTGACTAAAGTTTATGTTGGTCACAATAGTAAGCAACATTGAATTTACCCGAGCACAGTTTAGCTGTTGAAACTTCAAGTATTTTACCAGCACTATTGCCTTCATTTACTCAATGAACTGTAACTTCTGTACCAGAACAGACGTACAGTACGAATAACTCATGATCAATCACAACGAATGTGACCTTCACAGTCCTATGTTGCACTTATTCATTATCCCTCATGTACAGACTCAATCAAACCGAGTCTGCAATTCTTATGTTATTTTGTTGTGATTAATGCTTCCGAGGGATCACTTTGTTTCCAGAATTCTACACAGTCCTGGAAACCAACCCAGGTCACGCTTATCTGACATTTTAATCAGCCAATCAGTGGTCGCTTTTGCGTTGACAAAAATGGCGGATTTCTAATCGTTGGAAACCAGACACGTGTTAACATTTATGCAATTGACACGATTTCGAGACATTACATTTGAACAAAAATGACGATGCCCTTTGACACTTTTTAGTGTCATTTAGATAAATGGCCTGTATTTAACGCCTCGATACCAAAATTGATAGAATCTAATGTTTCGCAGAATATTCTTAATATATACTTAATTATTTTTCTATGGCAAAATCAATTTATGGGAGACGTAAATAATTTTCTGTAAGTTTTCTAAAATAACCTGATCAGAAAATCCAAATCGGCAAAATGTTGAAAATGAGTTACTGGCAATAAGATCTAAATGTAAACACAATAAGAAAGAAAACATCAGTCAGATTGGCGTTGGGCTGTAAACCGACCGATTCAAGCAAGGTGACGGTCACTTTTGTTGTGTTTGATCATGAAATCTTTCTATGTTATTTGCATTATACCAGTGCTCTGGCATGTACGGAGGAAAGTAAAGGCATTTAGTACTGGTCAACTGGTTTACATATCCTGCACAGGAATGGCGCCGTTGCTGAGCTGTGCTCTGGTGAATTCAATTTGACTTGCATGGGTAAATAAGTTAGTATACTCTGTGTATGCCATTTTTACTCAACCAAATAGAAATGAATATTGACATGTGTAAATTCAAAACTGGTACTGTTTTAATGAAATCAAACATAAATTATTTCTTTATTTGCATTTTTTAAAAATTGTAGTCTTTAATAAATTGTATTTTTGAAATTGTGTAAAGGTGTGGGGAAAAAGTTACCCCCATTTTTACAGACAGTGAATATACTTGGCATACTATTAGTGTAAGTTTATTTGAGATTGTTGAGCAAATATATTTTAAGTTTAAAATTGGCAATTTTGTTAGTATAGCAAGGATAAGGTAATCGTTCATTTATATAAACTATATATAAACACAATTAATGAACAAATGTTTTTTTCTTTTTTTTTCTCAAGGAAACATGCTGCATTTTAGATTAATAATACAAACCAGACGCCTAACAGCTCTGGCTATATATGCAAACAACCACTAATAAAGGGTAATACATCTTTAATTATAAAATTGAAACGTTTCATTAACTGATTTACTATCTTGATGTTGGGCGGGGAGTGGATAAGGTCGTTGGCTTTTAACCATAAACCTCTCACCAATGTATGTTTTAACTTTGAGCCATATAAGGGCCATACTCTTTCATGTGAGGCGACTATTCAGCTAGCTTGTTCTACTCAGGCGTCCGTTTGTGCCTGAAATAATGCACGGCGAGGTCCCTGTGGTCATCATTTCCATGGTTATCTTAAAAGGCGCCATGTTACTTTTATAGTGTTGGTGAGACGGTAACCACAAACAAAATATAATTCTCGATTCAATTAATTGTTTAATCAATTACTTATTACACAATCCTGCAATGCAGCCACGCCACTGTTTATCTCTTCGTGATTGTAAGGGACAACTAAATAAGTTCGAATTGCTGGAGTCTATGCACATATCTTTGCTCAAGCAGGTGAGGTTATCTGGTGTTGCTTTAAGTTTTAACACCCGAGGTTAGCCAACACATCTTTCCTATTTCGGCGCACATTTGTGTTTGTGCGCCATAAAACCAACCAACCAAACAAAATCTATTCTGCAACAATACCTGTAACCATGAGTTAATAAATGTTGGACGTTGCTATGATAGCGCCAGCACGGCAGCAGTTGCACATCATCAGAGGCTCATACCTTATAATTACATTTTTGAGTGTTATAAACGTTCCTTTGAACCATAAAATGGATTTAATGTGTTTTGTTTGCTGAAATGACTGTCAAAATCTTTTTTACTTTAATGATGTTATCAGGAATTATTTCTGGAATACATTTGTTATACTTTTGTAAAATGCATTAGTGGGTGGGGTAATATTATTTTGCAGTTTAAGCAAAAAGTTAGTAATCATATGATAATTGTATTATTATTGGTTGACACTATGATTTTGTTATTTATTATTTGATATTGTAATGATAATTACTTAAAACAATTTTAAAATTTACAATAAATATTGATATGTAAACTGACATCCTGATTTTGTATATTTTTCATGAAATCCAAGGTACCATGTTATTCAGGCATCATTTTCTCAGCAATGGCAGCAGCAAAAGTTCGGGACTTTTTATGGATAAATGTACATACATAGTAGTTTCAGAAAAACAAACTTTTAAAACTTTTGCAATTAGTTCTAGGTTAACCCCCAAATTAGGGTATATTGACTTGACTAAACATCATTATATCATTGCTTATTATTACAACCATCATCATCATTGTCATCACCATCATCATCATCATAACAGGATTCATTATGTCCATCATCGTCAAAATCATCATCGACTCGATCATCAGCATCATCAAAATCATCATCACACCCATTATCATCACCAAAACACAATAATTATTATCTATATCATTCTCATTATCATCATTAAATCTTCATCATGTTCATCATCATCAAGCTCAAAATTATCACTATATTATCATCACTTGCATCATCAAAGTCATCATTATCATCGGTCCATCATCAAAATAATCATCATTGAAATATTTATCGTCACCTCCACCATCATCATTATCATCATTATCATCGCTAAATGATATGAATACTGATGTCCGTTGAATGGTGTTTTAATGATAAAGAAGGTGGACTCGGTTTCAAACAGTGTGACGGGACTTTGCCCTTTAAACTTAAATTTTTCATTATTACATCGAAATAAATATGTTTAACATGACTTACTAAAATTTGAGTCCCTTGTCTAGAACTGAATGCTTATTTTAAATTTTGAAGTGATCATAATGATAATGATGATGATGGGCTGATGATGTTCTGATGATGATTATAATAATGTTGATGATAATGTACTGATGACAATGATGTTATAATGATCAAGATGTACTTATGGTGGTTATGATGTTGATAACGATGATGTCCTCATAATGATAATGATTATGTCTCTATGATGACGATGTATAAATTAAAAATAACGATGATGAAGCACTGCATGATGATGATGATGATGTTCTTATAAAGATGATGATAATATTCTGATGATGATGATTTTACTTGAAGGTTTCGACGAAAAAACTTCCGGGGAGCTGTACTGGGCCACATTAACCTGTATTTGGACGACTTTAAATATGTGACCACGGAAGCCTGTATTTAGACGACTTAATTATAACTTCTTATCTGGGAAGCCTGACGACTGACATAATGTGGTCAGGGAAAATTGTGTTTCAATGACTTAAAAAATACCATTGGGAGCTTGCGCCCCTCAAAAATGGTCACCAATGCGGTGTTTAGTTGGACGACATTATACCTTATCTTAGAGGTAATTTGTGAGTACTAAACATATATAACAATGTTTTTTATATTTATATAACATGACAAACACAAGTTATATTTCATAAGTTTATTATTATTTTTATGTTTATGATATAAAACATATCTGTTGAGTGCAATAATAATTTAGATATCACAGAATACATGACTTTTTGACCAATCAAATTACAGAATGAGTAATTTCTCCATGTACAAGATATAGGATCCAACAAAGGTGTAAATAGCTGTAGTTGGCCTTTCTCTAAATCTGAAATAAATAATGAAAAATGTTACTTATTATTTAAATTGAGCATATTTAAATGAATGTAGATTCAATACTGAAATTACTGAACGAGTGGTATTATATATTATCACATAAACCGCGGCGCAAAAGTGTGATAAAGCCATTTAATAAAAACGATAAATATTACACTAGTGTAATAACACTTTGACGTGACGTCATTTGCGCTATATAGAATTCTAACACGACCTGTATTTTTCACTATTGAATATAGAAGAACCGAAAGTGTGTGCTATTATGCAACAGAGTCACAGTTGACGTTCTATATTCAGATATGTGACGTAATCATTATACATGTGACGTAACCAATAAAAGAATCCGACGCGCATAAAATAAGTACGGAAGAAATCAGGCGCTTGATAACATCACTGTTTGTCGTTCGGATGAGCATCATAATATTACTTGGGCTACGCCCTCGTGATATAATTCCTCGCATCCGAACTCCAAACAGTGATGTTATTGAGCGATAAAATCACTGTTTGGGATATATTATTTCTTAAACATAGTTTTAAAACGCGCTTATGTTAGCGTTACACTGTGGGCGCGTCATTGAAAAATTACTCATTTTAACAGTTTACTGTTCTTATTTTATATATGTGATAAATAAAATATTATATTCGTGTAGATTCAATACTAAATTTATTGAACTCGTTGAATAAAACAATATTATGCTCGCCAGAGGCTCGCATAATATGATTTTATTCAACTCGTTCAATAAATTTAGTATTAAACTACCCTCATTCAATATCCTCTATATATTATTAAGTATTTTATATTATCCATTATTTATCAATATCATTTAATTAAACGAGTTCAATAAATTAGTAATGAATCTAAACGAATGTAATATTGTTTTTATCACACACCTAAAAAGAAATGTTTAAATTGAAAATAATCGTTTTTTTTTTGTTATTGGCGTTTTGCACGTTTTGCGGCAATGTTTTTATAAGGCAAAAGACGTCACGTCAAAATGTTATGGAGTTGTAAAAGCTGCACGGATGTGTTAAATGTGTTTTCAACTTAAATGAGGACAATATAGCGCTAAATTTAGATATAAAAAACGTAAATGTTAGCGACCAAAGTACAAGGATTTTGGCGATTAGTCTAGCCAATATGTAGTGTTTATCGGAACTGAATAACTTGTCAAATGTATACATTTATTCAAATTTATTTAAAGATTTTGTGTTTCAATATTCTAACAAAAGCTAGAGAATAATCAGTTTTGTAACTTTTGGTATTACATTATTTAATTTAGTTTCGAATTTGACCTTGTTCTAGCTTCAGGAAACTTTTTCAGTAACAACAGTTGTAAGAAATGAATATATTTCCTTTTGTGTGGACAAGTTTAAAAAATAACAACAAAGTACATATTTACCATATTTAACCCTGGAGGATGGTGATGGGTGTGGTCGTAGCTGTTGAGGTGGTGTTAAACAGGTTGCTGTTGAACAAGATCAAGATCAGGAACAAGAATCCGATCAGCATCACTGAAATATAATTTAAAATATTGAATAACTTCTTCAAAATGAATGGCTTAAGTATAGAAGCATTAAAGAGAAGATAAACATTGAAGTTTATAGATATAAGATAAAACAACAGCCGGTCGAACCGACTAGGTTTTTGACGTCTTGTAGTTATGTTTCGGACAAAGTTAAAAGTGTACAAATTAACAATGGGTAATAACTCCAAAATCAGGCAAGGCAAAGTTACAGTTCTTTTTGCACTGCACATTTACCCAATGAGATCTATCTACCTACACAGTTTCTTGTTGATAACTTCAGAGTTATGTCCCGGACAAAGTTCACAGTCTTAAATTGAAAAGGGGCAATAACTTCGAAACTAGACAAGGCAGAGTTAAAGCAAATCTACCTAATAATATATATCGTTCTACAAAGTTTCTTGTTAATATCTCTTATAGAGTTACGTCCCGGACAAAGTTCAAAGTGTAAAATTGAACAAAGGGCATTTACTCCAATACTAAGCAAGGTAAAGAAATGGTTCTTTTGCTCTGCACATCTACCCAATGAGGTATATCACCCTATAAAGTTTCTTGTTGATATCTCTTACAGTTTCAGAGTTATGTCGTGGACAAAGTTCAAAGTGTAAAAATGAACAAAGGGCAATAGCTTCAAAATAAGGCAAGACAGTGATACGGTTCTTTTGCAATGCACTTCTCTTCAATGAGACTTCTACTCACTTCAACCAACAAAATTTCTTGTAGATACCTCTTGTTGTTTCAGAGATATGCCCTGGACAAGAAAGAGGCCGGACGGGCGGACATACAAAGCGGTGACTATATGCTCTCCCTCTGGGAGCATAAAAATCCAGCAAAAACCAATACAAGCAAGACAAACGAATAACAATATTTGACAAACTAACAAATCGATTATTCTAACTTTAAGCGATAGTTATGTACAAGTATATTGAAGAGTTGTTTGAAATTTAAAAATACTAACATAATGTTATCATTATTTAAAGTTACTTACAGAAAGAACCATCTCCTAATCCGCCGGCCCCTTGCTGACCGTAACCAGATACTGGCATGTAGGTGTACCCGCCAGAATAACCGCCGTATCCGTACCCGGCACCGAGGGCAACACCGATAACTCCGACAAGGGCGAAAAAGGCAAGAGCTGAGATTTTCATGATGCTGAAAAGAAATCAAATATTTATATATCACATAATGAATTATAACACGATTTTATAAACTCAGCACACAGAAAGGAAGCACCAGTTATTGTGCTTATACACTTTGTTATGTAAAATGTATGTTTTGATTGATCGTGATAGAGCTATATATGTCTTCATATAAACACAACATTTCATCATCCAGATAATATTCTAACTCGAAATCATTAGAGATGGGTAACAAGAAACTTTTGTCATTAACTTCATACTGCAGAATAGTTTAATTAAATATATCAAGAGATATTTTATATTATGTCTAGTACATGTTTTAACTATACAAACTAGTTAAGATTCTACTTAAATAAGAAGAATGAAATATTTAAAGAAATATTGTAAATGTTTTAAGTTTAAACTAACCTTGTAGGTTGACGACTTCTGAAGAAATGGTGATGGTAAGCATGAAATATGCATTTTTATAATGCGACGGCAACTCCTTTACAAGTAAGTCCAGACTTCCGCCTGAATCGTTACACATCGGCAAGTTCCGACCTTGTTCGAATCTAATCGTTCACCACTTTCAGCGATTTTGGTTGGTCCAAATGTTCGGTTATTTCCGGTAAATAGATAAT